AAATCACTCTGTCCCTCTAAAATCTTTCAGAAATCGCAAAAGTGTATTGAATTGTATTGTTTGCTGAATATCGAAATACATATTGTATCATGAGATTATTGTATCACTACAGCCCTTTTATATATATATATATATATGTATAAAGAACAGATAATGACACCTGATTAAACCAAAATACCTGGATGATCTTTAGCTGGTCAATAAACTTTAGACCACATTTCTTTACAGCAGACTTTCAGTAACAGATTATAGACAAAAATAAAACAAATTGATAAATATATGGCAGTACAAAACTACATGTTTAGAAAACAAACAGTGATCAGATTTACTAGTTATTCCTAAAAGAATATTTTTACCAAGATTTTTTTTTTCTCTTCGGTTTGATCTAACAGCAAGAAGTTAGAAAACATTATTTAAAATTGTCAGCAAGCAAAACAACTTTTGCAAAAGTTATGCATTTAACTGCTTAGCACCTTGAGAAGAAAACAAAAACTTTCAAAAATATTTTATGTTTATTGTTGAATAAACTTTAAAGTTTAATAGAATTTTCTTGGAAAATATCAAAATCTCATAATATTGTTTTTGAAATCGCTACTTAATATATTAGTAAAATAACTGCATCTGAAACTGAACAGTAACCTCAAGCTGGAAGGCTGTTTATCGCTGCATTATAAAGTGAGATACAGTGGTATTGTCTAAGGCTAAGCTAAATCCCACCTGCAATGTTAATCTCCTTAAAGTCCCACATACCTCCCATCATCATCTCTGATGATGCCCACACAAGTCTCGGTCACAGAGACTCCATCTCAGTTACCGCACCATGTATCTGCACCCTGTGAGGGAAATGCGCTGTTGTGCTCCAAATAACTTCAGTTCTCGCATTACTAACGATCTGATAAGCAACAAAGTAACACGAGCGGCTGACCCGCACCTCACAAACCTGGTCGGAGAAGAGTACGTATATCAAGAGCATCACTCAGGATCATTGTTGTGCGGCACGGACTAAAAATAATACATTTTCTTTGCATAAAGTATGAAAGGGCCAAGTTAGATGGCTGTACAGTTCACTGGATGATGGGATAGTTCTGACAAAATTACTGGCAATAAGACTTCTTAGGGCACAAGAGTAAATTTGAAGATTGTTGCATGTCAGGATATAATTAAGAGTCTTGCTTTATGGACGAAAAGCCAATGAAATTCAACTTAAGAGTTCATACAGCGTTTCTATATTTATCCAGACTCAAATCTTCTCATTTTAAGTCAGTTTTTGTAGGCCGGTCACCATTTTCCACTAGTATACACATTAAATAAATATTTAGTAAGAGCTTGGATTTCTGTTTTCTCCACCCTCAGAAAAAGTATTAAAGGTGTTCAAAGTTGTATGACAAGCATTTGTAAAAACTGAGGGTTTGTGACTTTAAATGAAGCAATTACCCTCCCATTTAAAGGGTAATTGGGAGGGTAATTACCTTCCTAATTGCACAATTGAGCTATTAATTGAGATCCTCCTATGGTTGCAAAATATTGACATTTTATTGAGTTTTGCAAAACGTCCTAATGTCTTTTCTTTCTTCTCGTCATTCTTGGTCTTTAACATTTCATTTATTGATCGGAAAGGCCAGCCGAACTTAGTTGACTGTTTTCCTAAGGGCTGCAACACAGTTTGTAATCCAAGAAAAAAAAGAATTTAATAAACAATTCGCCATCCTGTCTCCTTTATCAAACTCAATTCACAAAGGTGCTACAAAGCAGGTGCTGCCGGGTGACATTCATGTAAATTGAAATTGTTTCTAAGTTTCAATCTATTAAAGCTAGCAACAACAACAACAAAAATATGAAAATAAGAAAAGCAGAATTTCTGTATTTGATGTTAAAATCACAGACGGGTAAAAATCGGCCAATTCCGACCTCTCGCTGATTGATTGGTGCATCTCTAATTTCAGGCACCATGCTAAAAACAAACTCCAGGCTTATCGTCACCAGGACGCAGCGCCAGCTGACTCTACTGTAGTAACTTCCAAGAATCACCGTCCCTCATTTACATTACAGATCCGCTCTCAGATAATGTGGTCCAATTTTAAAAAGTAGCCCGATGCACTTAGATAAACTGCTTATTAATCTATCACTGCTACATAGCTCGTGTTGTATTACACCGCGAAAGCGCAGTATTCAGTTTAACGCGGACCGCTACTCAAATTTTGACAAACTTTTAAAGTACAAAAAGCACACCTGAGCGCTCATATTACCCAAGCAAACACTCAAAAGTAACGCTAAGCCAACTTCCTCAAGGGTGGCTAACTTAACCTGTTGAAAACATTACAAGAATTGCAGTGCAGCCGTTTTGATAGGACTGTCAGAGGTCGGTGACTCCAGAACAACAACCAGCAAGCGCAAATAAAAGTAGTTAGCCACCTAGCAATACTACCCTTAGACGAGTTCTCCTTACCTTTTTCTTGGTTAAAAGAGATTATTTCCTCCTCCTTCGGGTTGGAAACTTGAGTTATTATGGACATGTGGTCCATTGAGGCGGGTGTTTATTCTTGGTTCGTTTTGCAACAATGTTATTCGTCGTAACGCGCTTGCTTCGTCTGCTAGCTCCACTAAGCTAGCAGTTGACGCCGAGGGCGAGCAGCTTGGCCACAAAGCCAGGAAACCGTCTGAGGCGAAGCGTTGTGGCAGCGGTGGGAGCCAGCCAGCTAGCACGGTGCTGTTTGGAGGCTGTCATCTATGGCTGTCCGAAAAAAAAAAAAAAAAAAAAAAAAAAACATATATATATATATTGTTTCGAGCTAGTGCTTATAAGCAGCTTCGGCAATGTCTCTGTCTAAAAAAAAAGAAGAAGAAGAAAAAGGAAAACTAAAAACCGACCTTAAACTACAAACTAAGTAAAGTCGGGAAGCAGCTTTGGGGTTAGCCAGTTAGCTCCGAATATCCAATGCGAGGCCGTCCGTGTCTGGAACAGCGCTGAAAACACTCCGAAGCTCCTTCTGTCCGTCCAAAAAAAACAAGCATGAATTACTCACAAGTGGCTCGGCGTCTTAAAAGGGAGACATGCACTTTTTAAGCAGCGTTTCACATCTGGTGGCCCGACATTCCCTGTGCAACATGGAGGCTTTATGTATTTTGAGTTCCATCTGAAGCGGGGGCGTTCGAGTGGGAGGGGGCGGTTTGTTTCTGTGATGGATTCTCTCCAGCAGGCAGGCGGGCGGGCGGCCGGGCGGCTCAAACTCGCCGTACTACGTTGCTCAAACCGTGCAGCTGACTGGACGATGCTTTCCCCTCCTGGACTGTAAAACGCAACAAATTACGAAATGCGAATGACACGCATTTAATAAAATAAACTCAAATACAATATACTTTAACTGCAAAAACTAAAAACACGATGCAGACAGTGCGTGTAGCAAATCCAACATTACACATTGAGCATCTAGTTTAGTTATGTTCCGTAACGTTTGGTGCGTGTTTTGTCAACGTTTAAGGACTTCTGGAAAACCTGGAGCGCCATCTAGTGTTTAAATCAGTGAAATGCATTTATGATGTTTTTGTAGGCTACTAAAACACTTGCTAGGTTTTGCAGCAGAACTCAAATTTAACTTTTTACTGTTTTGTCATTCAAAAATCACAAACCTCGATATGTTTGAGGACAGTACAGGACCATCAGCATCATGGAAACCAAGTAACATGGGGAAAGAGTCGATAATAGTTAATAAAGCCCAACAAGACATAGTTGTTCATTTAAACTGATAAGCCAGAGAAGAAGACAATTAATCAGAAAATACCCTTGAAATTCACATCTTAAATAATCTAATTAAATTTCTGTCTTTTGATTTTGATCCTTTTTTTTTCCATTTACATATAGTAGGTGTACTGGTTCCAGAATGTATATTTATTACTTAGATCCCATAAATAAATCATTAAACAGGCTTGTTAATAACATGAGACACATATGGGCAAGAGGTCTACTTCTAAGTTTGACAAATATTTGAATAACTAAAATTTCACCTAGACTAATCATTGCAGAGTTCCTGTTTTTCTTTTTTATATATAATTATTTTTCACGTGGTGGTAACAACCATTATCAAGGATTTGTGATGATAAAAACATGCAGTAGGTTTTACTGCTGGATTTGAAGTCAACATTAACAAGGCCACCCCTAGTTTTTTATTTTATTTTATTTTATTGTCTTTTATTTTATTTAGGAATGCTTTAGAGCATTGCCTTGCTGAATAATATAAGTGTACAATTGCTTAAGGTCAACAACTGGTGGCCAGGGGTATTTTTTAGCTGGATATATTTGGCACAACTTTCTATTTCACAATTAAAGACTTATTATTTATAGAAAATTTTCCCAAAAAAACAAATGAATCAAAATTTATTTTCAAATGTAAATTTGTTTTCAGATTTTTCTTTCATACATAACAAATGTATTTAAATTAATTTGTTATGAATTAGGATCAATAACAAATGGATCTAAATTAGAAAACAGGTTTTTATATTTAGTTATTCATATCTGATTAATTGTTTTAATGATCTGAATCATTTAATAGTAACAAATCTTTAACACCTCTTTAAGTGCAGTATTGTGTGTAGAAATTAAAAATAATCTTTTGAGTCACAAAATTTCATAAATGCGGCACCTTTGGACTTTCTGAGTTGTATGCAAACATATCATAGGCGTGCCACCCACTGCTATAGATCACATCATTTCTGTATTTAACATTAGCTGTTAAATACAGAAAACGCTGACTAGAAATCAATTTTACACCTTTGTTTTGGCGCCCCCTCGAACAGCGCCCAAATCCCGCGCCACTGTATGACTAAAGTGAGTAAAAGAAAGCGGCTAATGAGGCAAGTAAAACAAAACAAAAAAGACCACGTTTGCTTCGCAAGACACAGGCTTTACATCTTTCTTTGATTTATTTCCTTTGTTTTGCTCAAATATCCAATCGCGTCTAATCCATCACCTTTTGCTTAGCGATTCGTTTTTGATTAGAGCTGCTGTTACTGCAGTGGATGCAAAACACCACCCTGTTCATTTCTCCCACCACAGAGTGTTTCGCTCTATGGTGCTGATGGGCTCGTTGTGGACCACCCCTCACTGCGGTGCTATAGTGAAGCATAAATATATCCCCCTCCTCCTCCTTCTTCTTTCCCTCCTCCTCTTCTTCCTCCTCCTCCTCCTCCTACTCTGGTTGAGCCCGCAACATCCTGACCGGCCTTGGCTGGTGATCGCAGGGAGCGCCAAGCCCGCACAGGGACGGATGAATTAGTGAACCTGCAGTGGCCGCCATTCGCTTCTCATTTCTTCTCTTTATTGGAGAGTCGTGAAGCAACACTGATTGTGCAAAGCGGACACAAGGTTGGTAAGAATTATTATTAGTATTATTATTATTTGTATTTATTGTTATTTGTTACAAGGAATTGAATTGAGATCCCAAATAACCCCAGTCTGTTGGTGCATGCGTCTTTATTTGTCGAGCAGTGAAACAAAAACAAAAACAAACAAGAAAGAAAGAAAGAAAGAAAGAAAGAAAGAAAGAAAGAAAGAAAGAAAGAAAGAAAGAAAGAAAAACCCTTCATCTGTATGCAGAGCACTTTGTTGGGGTCCTGCACAGCCATGGTTACATGTTGGCACGGGCACGTCGGAGTTTTTAGCCCAACTCCTTTTAGAGTAGAGTGCGCTTCATGAACTTGATGAACGCGCAGGCAGGGCGCAAGTGGCGCTATCCTCCTCTGGGGAAAAAAAAAAAAGTAGCCTTCCTCAGTTTTCTAACTCCCGATGCGCCATTCTTGGTTATTCCAGTCAGAGCTAATTATTCTGTGAAGTGAGTCCCCATGCAGCGGGGCTCAGATCACATAGCACTGCAGCTGCCCTGCTGCACAGCAGAGCGACTGAGAGCTAAAATAGGAAGGAGAGGTAGGGTTGCGCAGCTGACGATGCTGATTCCAAGGAGCCAGACCTCTTTCAGTCCCATTTAAGTCTACAGTCTCTCGATCGTAAAGGGTGATTAGTAAAGTGGCACTTGGTATTTTTGTATTTCAATTCAGCTTCCGTGGGTTGAAAAATAAATTAATATCTCTTCCATTGGTTGTCAATGGAGTCAGTTCCTCTCCCAAATCCTTTGAGAACGTTCTCTCTTTAGAAATGATATGTTTTGGTTCAATTTCTGTTACCATAGTGGGTTATTGTAACTACTTCTCAACACTTTTAGGCCTCCAGCGCACAGATTCGCCATGGGGATCAAGGCTGCTCTCCCCAGATATGAGCTGTATCTCTACTCTGCTGTGCTCTCAGGGGCTCTGATATGGGCTGGCAGTTGGATATTTGAAGCCTCCAGTGGTGAGTGCGTAACCCCTCTGGGGGGAATTCAAAAACACTCAAAAACACACACACACACACACACACACACACACCCACACACACACACACACACACACACACACACACACACACAAAAAAAAAACACACGAATGTTAGAGGGCTGTTGTACACCCATAAAGGCATCTCCCTAATTAGACTGTTCAGTGTTTTGTCAAGTTATAACAAATTCAAGGGATTATACTGGGATTTTTTTGTGTGTGTGTGTGTGTGTGTGTGTGTGTGTGTGTGTGTGTGTGATAGATTGACACAAGATTCTGAGCTTGACTTAAGTCTGGACTTTGACTTGGCCATTAAATCACTTGCTTTGATCTAAGCTATTCTAATATAGCCATTCATGTATAAAGGGGTGATATTATATATTTTCTATGCACCTGGTACCTTTTTGTACCACAACCAAGTAACTATGTCACATTCAGTTGTTGTTATAATAATGCTGCATATATCAAACATGACTTAAAATAAATTTCCCTTAGCAATTTAACACCTTTGAATTGGATCGCTGTCTCTTTAAGAAGCTCCTACTCATAATTGTGATGACTTCAGGAATCATCACAATTACTCACTAACAATATTTTTACCAGTGTTGCACCAGTGGCTTTGTTTCTGCTGTCGTTTTTTTCTTGCTACTCTGCCAGATTTTTTTTTAGGGTTTTTTTTGTTTGTTTTTGACTGGTAGTTGTCCTATCAACAAATGGATCTTTGCAGCTCCTCCAGAGTTACCATGGTTTTCTGGGCTGCTGCTCTGGTTATTTCTCTCCTTGTCCTGCTATGTTTCTTTGCCGTTTTGCCTATACTCTAACAGTGATTCAAGAGATCTCCAAAGCTCAGGATGTTACACCCTAACGTCGGCACATCTACGGATCGTTTAATAACCAAGGGAATATGTTAAGATAATTTAGTTACAATTGATTTTTTTTAAAGGGTATCAGCAAAAGAAGGCTGAATACAGATGCACGCCCCATTTTTTTTTAGATTACTTGTAAAAAATAATATCACTTCCACTCCATGTCATAGTTATGTACTAGCTTGTGTTCTTCTTTCCCAAAATATTTCCAGTAAATTACATTAAAGTTTCTTGTTGCAAGGTGACAGAATGTGGATCAGCTTAATGGATGTAGATACCTTTTTTTAAGGCTCTGTATATACGTGTGGGTAATTTTCTAGAAAGTGGCCCAGCAAGCTTGCTCTCTGGTGAAAAATGTTTAAATAAATTCAGCTGAAAAGTGGGATTTCTTTTAAAATCAAATTGTTTTCAAAAACTGGGTCTTCGTCTATTACTTTTCCCAATTTAATCCAAAAGTAGACCAAAGTTCACACAATAGATTGAAATGAGGCCATATTACCCAAAGGAACTGCTGCTGCATGCTCTTATTACTGTGATGACAATTTAGAGACGGTCATCCCTTTTTTTATAAACAGGGATAACCGAGGATTTTTCAATGTTTAATGTGAAAATAATCCGGCTCTTGCATGCTAGAAGTCCCCTTACGCCCCCGGATCTGAATGGACTGAGTGTAATCTGGTGGCTGGTACTGTTTGTCACCGTCTGTGTTGTCAGATGAGTTCAGGCACCTTCCCGCTGCCAGTCATCTTCCCCTACTTTTTTTTTTTGCTTCACGTTTTACCGCCTGCCTCGTCTCTACGGTCCATGTCTGCATGCTGCAGCAGCTCTGTATACTGGCAATAAAAGTCTGGCTCTGCTCCCAGAAGTAAGAGGCTTTTCCCCTCGACCTGTCCTCACATCATTCAGTCTTTTTTTTTTTTTCACAGTCATTAGGGTAATCGGGCAAAAGCTACACCAGGGCCAGCCAGTCAGAAACTAAATGTTACAAGTGCTCTTTCTCTTTTTAATTTTGCTTTATTTATGTACATGTTGCTTTTTTTTTATTTTTTTCAGGCCTCATAGAAGACTTATCTCCTCCAACAAGATTATTGCACGATTATAGATTCCCACCTCAAAAATAGAAAGCTCAGCACTGAGTGGGTTATGTAACATTTGATATCATCTAATGGACCGAATGGGTTCTCACATTACTAAATTCACACTGAAGATAATCCAGTAATCAGACCAACGCTCATAGGACGTCTGAGTACCGGCAGGATCATTTTTGCGAAATTACTCGACTCATGTTTCTGCTTGTCTGCCCCTTCATTCAGATAATGTAAACAGAAAAGCCTTTAAGGAAAGTGTGAAGCCAGGATGGCATTATTTTGGCAGGAAAATGGTGAGTTCTCCTTTCACAGCAAGCACAGATATGAGTGGGTGTTGCAGCAGCTACCAATGCAGTTTTTTTTCCTTCATCTTCTTCGCCTCACAGGATGTTGCAGACTTCGAGTGGATGATGTGGTTCTCTACATTCCGCAATCATATCCTTTTTGCACTCATTGGTCACGTGATCTTTGCCAAGATATTTACCCTGCTCGCTCCAAAGGTGTGTGGGAGTGTGTTGCAGAGCAGAGGCAATGCTGTTAAGGCGGCACTTTGGTTTGTCTGCACGCCTTTTGTTGTTTGTATGCGGAGTGTATAGAATGTATGTGTTGCATGTGATCTGTCTTGCGAACGATTTGATTGGGTTTGTGTTGCTGTACGTAGCAAGTGTTAGGTCAGACGCTTTGAGGGAGTGAATATTTATACAATCACTTGTCATTCTTTTGTACTTTTCCTCTCTCGAAAGAGCCAAATATTGTTGAGCGTGATTTATTTGCAAAAGCAATAAACAAGTGTAAGACATCCAAAGGGTTGCATACTTATGAACGTTGTTGAAAGGTGCTGCACATATAACCTAAGATTCAATATTTTATTGTGGTGATGCAGGAGCGTGAACTGCCCCTTGCACTCTTGAGATGTTTGCTTGCCTGGTTTTGCTTGCCACTGTTATGTTTGAGATACTTAAAACAAATGATCATGTTTTAAAGATATCTTTTGTCTTGTTACATGCTTACTATGAAGATTGGTATTGATGTATGTAAGGTAACTTTAATAAACCCGTGAATGTTATAAGCCTTGTCATGTCTTTTTTTAATTGCTTGTAGGACAGTAGATTTCCTTTTCCTCGCCTCTATCATAATCCCCTTGAAACTGTTTTTAAAAAAAATTTTTTTACTAACATCGCTACGTGTAGTGTGGCATTTAATTAGGAGTGAAGATAAATTGCTCTGAAGCCAAACATCCCTTTAATGCTGGCCTGATTTTTGTTTTCCCCCACCCTGCAGCACAGACCCTTGGTCTTTGCCGCGTACGGAGGGCTAGCCGTTCTGGTCACCATGGGCTGGACCTTCATGGCTCTGGTTGTGTCCCACTGCATCATACTGTACAGCGTCGCCCTGGTCAAGAAGAAGTGGATGTGCTTTGCTGCAGGTCTGAGCACACTGGCCTCCATCAAGCTGGAGCCGTATAACTCCTGGCAGGTGAGTGGGCAGTTTCCTCTTTGGCTTCCCAAACACAGATGACTGACCATAACAGTTTTGCAGAAGAAGGATCAATATACCATTTGTTTACATAATGCCAAACACATTTACTTTGCAGATAGCAACTGGGGAAGATTTCAACCTCTTCTTTTCTACATACTTTGCTTCCAAGGAGCTGGACTTGCTTGTAAAACTTTTAGTGGTCTTCAAATGGTAAATGGCCTGTACTTGTATTGTCCATAGGACCCCAACAAGCTTCACTCTACAGTCAGTGATTCACACACACATTCACACACTGATGGTGGTGTAGCAAGCAACAACAGCTGTCCTTTAAGAACAGTAATTTAGGTTCTTCTGAGGTGATTTTACTAAGGCTTGTTTAAGAAAAATACAACAAAGTCTGGCACCTTGTTTGCAGTATGTGAGGAAATAAGTGGTGGTTTCCAGTTTTTGTGCAGAACTTCAATTGTGTTCTGTCAGCATGTTCATCAAATACCAATAAAACGAGACAATACACTAACATCTCTGCACCCAATATAAAGTTTCTGTGCCTGAAGCTCAGGAATGGCTGACTCCCCCCTGTAGGAGGCCTTGGTGACCGGATCATTTGACCTGCAAGACATCCTGTTCTATGGAGGCTGTGGCTTCAGCATCATGCGCTGCATGAGCTTTGGCTTGGAGAACTGTGACAGGAAGGAGGGCAACTACACCTTCTCCGACCTCCTGAAATACAACTTCTACCTCCCGTTCTTCTTCTTTGGACCTATTATGACTTTTGACCGTTTTCATGCCCAGGTAAGGTCGCTCATACACCATGTGTGGATCCATTGCAGGTATTTAGCTACTGCAGTCTTTATAGGTATTCTTACTTATCAAGTCCAGAGGACTCCAAAGCACTTCACACTACATTCAGTCTTTGACACAATCACACTTGTCCAAATGGTTAGATATTTGTTTCAGTTTCTAGCATTATACGCTGTAAAAAAGAAAAGAAAAAAAAAGTGTGTACTTTATGGTAAATTACCGGCAGCTGTGTTTACCAGAATTATATATGGCCATAGAGGATATTACAGTATAATATTTTGGCAACCGTCACTTTTAACAGTTCAGAACTTACAGAAAATTACTAATTAGAGAAAAAAAACGGGCAGAACTGTATGATACATTACAGCATTTTTCTATGAATTTTACCATTTCTAAGAATTTTAAAGATACATTTCTGTGTTTTCTACAGGTCCTAAATAAAAATTACTTTAAATTAATGTTTCTTGAGTTATGATAATTCAATGTATTTTCTATGGCAATATAATGTTTTAGGTTTTATGATCATGTAACTGTTGGTATTTACAATTTCTATCAAAGAATTGTTTTGATTGTTTTTCTTACAGTATTGTCTACATGTTTGCATTGCTGCTCCACAGGCTAACAACACTCAGCTAACACGCAAGGAGAGGGAGATGTGGAACATCACCACCAAGGCCTTGTTACACCTGGGAGTTATTCTGGTGATGGACGTCTTCTTCCACTACTTGTACATCCTGACTATACCCAGCGACATGAAGTTGGTCAACAAGCTGTCTGACTGGTGTCTGGGTGAGGAACTGAAAGTTTACTACCACACAAATCTTTTGTACAAATCCTTGCTTGATCTAGTTCTCATTTCAAGAGCAGTAATAGCATCACGGTTTGGCTGCGCTCTACAGAGCCTCTTATATTTCATCCTGTTACAAACACAAACTTCAAGGTATTTATCTATCTATCCAATGCGTGCGGCAAGCAAAATTCAGGCTACTTCTGGATCAGCAGTGACACACTGGAAAGATCCTAAGTCACCGACTGAGACACAGACCGATTGAACTTCCTCCTCCATTGAAAGTGATTGCACCAGGAAGTCCAGCATTCATACCTTGGGTCAAACACACACATAGCCATATCCACTTATCCACTAACCAAATGCCAATGCTGAATATTCACCACAGGCCCATTCAAATGTGCCGTACTCTTTCCCTTTTCAGATGATGGATTGCTTTCCAGGCTGTCCAAGGATTGGGAAATTGTTGTTTTTATATCCCAATCCTGCTTTAAGCTGCTCCCTAACTTTCTTCCTGAACTGTTTGCCGGTGCTTTGGTCTTCATGAAGCTGTTTGTTAGTGAGCTGAGATTAGAGTTACATATAACTGGATTCTGTTTTAGATTACTTCTGAATCCAATTGGTTCTACTGGTTTTTATTTAGAGGTATCAGAGTAAATACAGATAGATACAAACATGCAATTTTTAAAACTTGCTTGTTAAAGCCACATATTAAAGTTTGAGGTTGTAATGTGGCGCTTTGTGAAATGTTCAAGGCATGAGAAAACTTTATTTTGGCAAAAGTCGAGTTCAACACCTTAAAAACTGCGTATTACAGAAACGCAATGTTTTGACAGATTGTCCAATCTGGTATGTTTGTAGCGGGACTGGCTTATTCCAACCTGGTGTATGACTGGATAAAAGCAGCTGTAATGTTTGGTGTTATCAACACTGTGGCTACACTGGACCACCTGGACCCGCCTCAGCCTCCCAAGTGTATCACCATGCTCTACGTCTTTGCTGAGACGTACGTGCCACTTCCTCCTTAATTACTTATTGAGAAATCAGGTGACTGTTTAGCTGTTGCACAAAACAAAACTCTTTCTCTTTTTTTTAAAGGCACTTTGACAGAGGCATCAACGACTGGTTGTGCAAGTGAGTTTTGGGATTTAACTTTCACACACTTGACTGTTTGGTAATACAATATGATTTCCATTTGAGACGGTATAAAACCTGAGTTGAAATTTTGCAGGTATGTCTATGACTATATTGGTGAGAATCATGACAAGATCTTTAAAGAACTTCTTGCAACAGTCTGCACTTTTGCCATCACCACCTTGTGGTTGGGTCCGTGTGAGCTGGTTTACATCTGGTCATTTTTCAACTGCTTCGGCCTCAACTTTGAGCTGTGGGTGGCAAAGTTCTTCTCCATCCCACCCTTTTCTATCATGGAGGTGAGAAGTGATAAAAAAACCCCTCTTTTTATATATTAAATATATTGTTTGAACATAGTTTTGTCCATTAATATAAGTAAAACTTCTGGAAAGTGCAACGAGTGACTTTTATTAGAAATATTTTTTTACATATTTGTTGAAACTGTTATAATGTCGTGACAGTATGGTACAAGACAGATGGTCTGTAAAGAAATCAAGGTCCTCTGCCTTTTCCCAGTGCTAACTAGAAACAACCAATCAGAGCCAGAAGGCGGGTCTTAGTGCTGTCAATCACCCTCCCGCTCAGCAGAGCCTGTTGTGAATGCTAGGTTAGTTAGAATGGCCATCTATGATGGTGGATAAACAGTTTTCCTGTAACGGTAAGTTATTTCTCTGCCATTAGCACTTTTAGCAGCAGGTACATGTGATTGATTAACAGCTCTTGGCTCTGATTGGTTGTTTTTGACTGGGAGGAGTGAGATAGTAGCTCAGGGAGAAAGTGGAGGAGATTGATTTTGCACATATTTTCTGTCTCATATACTGGTGACAGTTTCAATAGATAGACATATTTTCAAGAAAAGTTACATATGTGCAGCTTCAAAATGCAGTAGCTCTTTATTTATCTGACCATGTCAGATTTGAGGAAGTCATTTCTGTCACTTGTGTTTGTTTTCGGTACGTAGGGAGCTATGGGCGAAGCCATGTCTCGTAGGATCAGGGGTGTCTTCAACGCTGCCAACTTCTGGGCTATTGTCCTCTACAATGTTCTTTCCCTGAACAGTTTGGAGTTTGCCAAACTGGTGGGCAGAAGGATTATTTTCAAAGGTGGGTCTAACACACTGGTAACACACTGGTGTGCAAAAAGCCTTAAATATCTCTGGTCAAAAAGAGAAAGGCGCAGTGCCTTGGTTTTTAGCTTTACCTTGATGCTACAGTACTGTGAAACTATACTTTAGTGTAATTCTCACTCATCCCTCTTACGTTTTTCTAAAACTTTCATCCCTCAGGTTTCCCTCTGTCCACCCTGTCCGTGCTACTTGTAACCTACTGTGGTGTGCAGCTGGTGAAGGAAAGGGAGCGCCAGCAGGCCCTGCTGGAGGATCCAGACCCAGTGAAGCCAGTGGATGATGGCAAAGAGAAAGCTGAATAATCAACCGTAAAACCACTGTATTTTTATTCTTCTTTTTTTTTTTACCTCTATGGCAGGCCCCTGACAAGGTTTCATCGTTAGCCTCGCCAACTGTAACAGAACTAGACTGTGACAGCCGGTTGGCACCTTTATTGTTCACGAGGGCGGAAGCTTTTGCTTGTCAAAAGTGAGTCAGTATTTTTGGACATAAAGTACCCTGAAGTGCACTTGCAACAGATAATCGTAAACATACTTTGGCACAAACAAAAGAATGACATGTTTTGTATTTGTATTTTATCTGAACAAATGTTTATTATGCAGATCGCAAGCCTTACAAGGAAAACAATTAATAAGAGGATAGGTAAAGTTTTTTTTTTTCTTTTAAAGAGCAGCTACTTTGCTCTGTTTGGACACTACCGTTTTATTATTCTCAGATTTGAACATTCTTGCCTTTCATCACCTGCGGTATATTTTATTTTATTCAAATGTTTTTTTTTTCCTTTAGATGCTTCAGAGCCTACTGTCACAACCCTAAAGGGAATGAAACTTGAAAGAAACTTGCAATAAGAAACACAAACAAAGGGTGCTGTGGAGGTCTTCCACAAAGCTTTCAGATGATTGTAATGTATTTGTACTAGTTACAGTAGAGGACAGACTTTTGTTTTTAATAGTTGAGATGTACTGGATGTCCTAGGATGCTGAATGTATCAAAGTCTTTGAACCACGTGCAGAAGATGATTGCCTTTTTCCACTTCACAGGGTTTTTTTTTCTTTTTTTGACAGGAAATTACTGATAAATATTGGTGTATCTTTCCTCCAACCATCTCACACACTTCATGCGCACACTTTGCTCTGCTAGACAACAGAACGAACAAAGAGTCTGGGTCGGTCTTTCAGTGCCTGTCAACAAAACCTGCAGCTTGTCTTCAATGTGGAAGGCAACGAGGGAAACTTTATAAAGACTGTAAGATGTTTTTGTCATTCGGTGTTTTCATGCGAATGGCTGTTTATTTAACCGTTTGTCCTGAAATAAAGATTTATTTCATCCTGTTCCAAGGTAAATTTGTTATAAGAACCTAAAGTGCCTTATTGTTTGTCTGAATGAATACTTTGAAGATTTGCCATTCACTATGTAAAGGAGCTTTGGGGCATATTAGCCATTAAAATTTTTAAAGACACGATCCAGCAGCACATTATTTTTCACTTACATATGAATAATGACAATATAACTCTGTGGTAGACAAGCAGCTTTTGACAGATTTTGATATTGGATCTGAAGTCTTTAAGTTCCATTTCAGGCTCAGTTCTCCTCTGCATATTTCGTGGATCTTCCTGAAATACATGCAGTGCTCTCACATACAGTCCAGCCAATTAAAAACATGCAAACGTCCAAAGAAACGTGCATCCATAAAATATGTGAAAATGTTTTATTCATATTATTCAACTGTATTCGGCATTGACGGGTCACAGCTTTCAGAAATGAAACATGTATGGAGAAACATAGGGATGATTCTGGGTTGAGAATCCAGAATCATTGTTGTTGAATACAACAGTGTTGTTAACTAGTCGGGCTATTTGTTGATTGTGCTGATGTTTTGCAGTTGACTTCCATATAATTTGACAAATATTAGTGTGTTGAGTCTAAAGATAAAGTCAGAATCTAAAACAACCTGTATTTAAATCATGTAAGGTAAGTAAATGTTTATATTATAAATTGAGTGAAAACAGTTTAAAAATGGAATTTAAATTTAGACCATTTCTACTGACTAGATTTATGTTTTTTCATGTTACATTATATATTACTGTTTCCTAACACATACTACCTGTTTATTGTTCAGCTTCGCAAAAGGAAAATGTAAATTTACAAATACAATGATTTTTTTGTAATAGAAAAAGTTAAATTATTAAATTTCTGATAAACATCATTTTTACAATAGTTTCTTTTCTCCAATTTCTCTCTTAAGTCTCCAATGGTTCTAATAGTTACAGGTATTTTCAGGTTGCTTCAATAAAAAGCAGGTATTTTATTATGTAAAAAAAAAAAAAACATGGCAATGTTCTCCTATATTTAAAATGTGCTAAAAAAAACTTTTGATCCGCCTTCAACGTCAGTTTTTTTAGTGTGTCATTTTAACCACTAGATGTCAGTGTTTTCTAGCAATATTTGACTTTTCCACGACTGACAGTAACTGACCACTACCAGATAAATAAGTAATTTTCGAGTCCCGATGCAATGACCACGTAGTGTCACCGTATTCTTGGGAGACCTGACTGCTGGTAGTCTTAAAAAAATCATGCAAAGATTCAATTAAGTCCTGAAACAGAATTAATATTATTATTCGTTTGCAAATTATTATATCTTTTATTCTTTTTTCACATTCTAAAGCTTTAATGTTAACACATTTAATAATTTACGCATGATGAAGCTGCAATACAGGATTTCTTTTTTTAAGTAGATTCTACTTTTTTAAAATTTAATACTAACTTGAGTCATGGATGTGGTAAATACATATTAAGAGCAAAGTATATGTCACTTCCTCTGCTTGTAATTCAGAATGTCCACAATGTGATACATTAAAAATAGGAAAGTGTGTTACAGTATCAAGATCAGAACAGCTGCCGGGTGAGTTGATTGCTGGATTTAACCGCTGCCATCATTCCTCTGTGCGCTGTCTCTGCGAGTGTGCCCCATCTTTGCTTTGTGGGGACCCAGTCTATAAATACCACGGACCTATGCTCTCAGTGACAGTCAAAGACAGCTGAAGCCATAATCTTACCCACACTTTGAGGCTATTTGTAGCAGTCGGAGCAGGCCAGTGAGCACCGGCAGTCCCGCTTTGTCATAGCAGGAACAAAACCCCACCAACAAAATGGCGGCATTGACGATAGACCCGATGCGGCAGCCTCGGATGTACCAACAGACCCTGCTCCAGGATGGACTGTGTGATCTTTTGGACAATGACAAGTTTGTGGACTGTGTCCTGAAAATCCAGGACAAGGAGTTCCCCTGCCACCGTCTGGTTTTGGCGGCTAGCAGCCCCTTCTTCAAGGCCATGTTCCTGTCTGAGCTAGAGGAGAGTAAGAAAAGGGAGATAGTCCTTAAAGATGTGGACCCCAGTGTCATGGAGATGATCCTGCGCTACCTATACACATCTGACATTAATCTGACAGAGCAGAATGTGCAGGATATCTTTATGGTTGCTAACATGTACCAGATCCCCTCCATCTTCTCTGTTTGTCTGACCTACCTTCAGGACAAGATGGTGCTGGGAAACTGCCTTGCCATCTTCAAACTAGGGCTTCTTCTGGATTGTCCGAGGCTCACTCTTGGTGCCAGGGAGTTCATCTGTGAACGTTACCAGGTTGTTATGAGGGACCAGGACTTTTTCCAGCTCAGCCCCAGTGAGTTAGCCATCATCCTCTCTTCAGACGCCCTAAACGTTGAACGGGAGGAGCAGGTTTTTGAATCCCTGATGGAGTGGATCAAACACGACGAGACAATGCGGCTAAAGGAACTCCCCGAGCTGTTACACTGCGTCCGATTCAGGCTCATTCCCATAGACTACTTCAAAGAAAAAGTTGAGCGTCACCAGTACATCCAATTCAACCAAGAAATCAAGAAGGAGCTGGATCTCGTCACAGAGGCCCACCAAGGTCGCCTCCCCAAGCCGAAGAGGCTTGGCAGCGATGGTGCAAAGGGAGGAGAGGGGAGCGATGAGGAGAAGGAGGATGACGAGGAGGCATACCTGCCAGGAGTCTTGAACAACAACCCTCGCTTTGGGATGTTTGAGATGGACCTTGTACTTATGATCAACAACACTGGCACTGTGGCCTATGACCCGGTGGGAAACGAGTGTTTTGTCGTGTCAGAATCTACAGAGATTCCCAAAAACCACTCTAGCCTGGTGACAAAGCAGAACCAGGTATTTGTGGTTGGAGGACTTCTCTATAATGAGGAGGACAAGGACGAACCATTCATGTCTTACTTCCTACAGGTAAAGGGAGTATCTGTCTCTCAAAGCTTAGAAACTAGTTTGGTTTCATTTTGTTTTGCTTTCTGTTAAAGAGCTGGAAGTTTTCTTTTTTTGCTGTAGATCTGGATTGCTATTCATTATCGTGTACAAAGCTCGGAAATATGAGTACAAAGTAATCAAGGTTTTCCAAAGAAGATGAAGTAAAAGCAACCAACTTAGTCATCAATGCATGACACATTTGACTCCCAAGTAGAAAGTAGTAATATCAAAGTCTCCAGTTTAAATGTTATTTCATAAGGTGAATATTTTTAGGGTGATTTCTTCACTGAAGAAGACAAAGTGAAGAGAAATGCTATCTGGGATAAGCGGTGGCTGCATTAAATGTATCAGCAGTGGATGGAAGAAGCCAAAAATCTTATCTCCTACGTCAGAGGTTCCCAAACTGTGGGGCGCGCCCCCTAGGGGGGGCGCCGTGTCATTGCAGGGGGGGCGCGGGAAGCCATCTGGATGAAAAAAAAACAAAACATGAACACTGTATGCGCTGGGTTTTTACCTTAGAATGGCCAACTCTTTGTTATTCCTATGTCAATTTGATATAGTAGAGGCTTCCACACTTCCCATATTTGTGTCCTCTGTCACTTTTATCAGCAGTTAAAACGGTTTAATCCGTTGTTAACATGTTGTAACCTGTTTTTCCGAGCCGCCTTTAAACGCAACATGAGCGCTACGACGCTCGCGCTGGGTTTTCACCCGGGAAGGAGACCTGCTGCTGCTGTGCGGAGCTACGTAGGTTTGTGATAGAATCACGGCAGCAAACCAGCAAAACGCAAAGAACTTTTCAGTTTTTCCCTCCAAACTAACCGACTGAGTTGAGTAAAGCTGTTGGATGCAGGTAATGTTAGCTAAAAGATGACTAGCTAATATCAATACAGAACCTTAAGCTTAACAAGTACCTTGTAGGCTACCGATGTTGGTGTCTATTCATTTTGCCCCACCCTCATAGGCGTCGTTTCAACCAGACAGACATTTGTAATCCATAGGGGGGGAGGCGCAGAAAATGTTTGGAAACCACTGGGGGGACGCAGAAGAAAAAGTTTGGGAACCACTGTCCTACGTAATACCAGTCTTCTACCTGTAAAAGGTTTAACAGCATAAAGTAATCTATCAGTCAGAATATTATTCTGAAAGCATCGTCCTTGTCACTGGTCAAACTAAAGGAATCCATCTAAAGTTCACTTCAAGCTAAAGCTACACATATGGTTGTTATAAGTAATGGTAACATGCTGATTTTGAATTTCTTAAAGTCTTGGCTCAGGCACTGAGAAAAGGAGGATTTGAAGAGTGGTTAATGCTGTAACTCACAAACCTAAGCAGCCATACTCTACATTCTGCGATACTACGTCATTATGAATAATATAATATGGCCTCTTTGATGTAGAGAGCCATTGCTATGAAACTTGGCTTTTCTTGTTTGTTTGTAGCAGGTACATTCCATTTTAAATTAGCTTTTTTGGTATCCACTATTTATGCTTTTTAAATCTGTATCTTTTGTGGCTCTATAATTTGATCATATTTGTCATTTTTAAAAGTCTAACTTTAAGAAAATCTCTCTCCACACTGATGCTTTCATCCACAGTTTGACCCAGTAAGTTCGGAGTGGTTGGGGATGCCTTCCCAGCCAAATCCTCGGTGTCTGTTCGGCCTGGCCGAAGTTGAAAACTCCATCTTTGTTGTCGGTGGTAAACAACTGAAGGAGGGAGAGCACGCTCTGAGTTCAGTCATGATCTATGACAGACAGTAAGTGTATCATGTGTGACTTCCCATAGACTTGTTATCATTTAAAGATATCTAAAATAACCAGATCTGGAAATATGTGCTCCCTTCCAAATAACAACTCTATTGGTCTTGACGTTCACATTTAACACTGATATGATTTGCTCATAGAGACACATGGTCTTCTTTGCTCACAGGTCGTTTAAATGGGGAGAGTCCGACCCGCTGCCTTATGAAGTGTACGGTCACGGGACTGTAGCACACAACGGTCTTGTCTATGTTATCGGTGGAAAGTCTGAGAGCAAGTAAGTGGCTTGTACGACACTCAACGTCACATGTATTAATTATGAAAGAGAAAAATGTCTCAATGCTAATTTTGTGACTTCCCTTATCTGGTCTTTATGTTTCTAGTTGATTTGTTCCAGTTTATTCAATTGTGTCACTATAGCACTGAACTAACAGCACATAAAATAGCAGTTGTTATGGTATGATGATGTACCATTCATCATAACAGCTCAGTTTAAAGTTTATAAAGTTTGCTTTTTTGATGCACATATATGGCATAGAACACGACCCGTTTAAGAGTGGAAAACGTGCATAAAAAGTACCAAGACAAATCAGTCATTTTCTCTTGTTTCTGTATATATTGTAAGTCAGTAAATATTAAGGCCTTCAAGGAGCACAGTGAAGGCAGGCATGCCACAGTGACACACATCGCCAAACAGAAGTAGATCTTGAACTTTTACAGTTAATAAAAGAAATCTGTAAATCTTTTTTTAATGTGTTTTTTCACCAACTTTTATCAAATGTGGCCCTATTTTACAAAAGTGTTCATAAAACGGGGCCCCAATTTTTTCCAACGTGGTGTTTTAAATTATTTCATGCAGGAAATGTATGAGAAGAGTCTGCGTCTACGACCCCACCAAGTTTGAGTGGAAGGACTTGGCTCCTCTGACGACAGCCAGATCTCTGTTTGGCATCGCCGTCCATCAGGACCAGATCTACGTGGCCACGGGAGTGACCGACTCAGGCCTCACCAGCTCGGTGGAGGTCTACGACATCGCAGCCAACAAGTGAGAAAAACATTTTAGGGTTTATGACACATCACACTGATAAAACAAGCAGGCTTTTTACTTTAAACAGTGGAATTAGTGTAACAATCTGCATATATTTTTTGGGGTTGACTCTCTTCCTATTATTTTCATGGATTCATCTGAAAAAACAAAAATGCAATTAGATTGTGGTTATGGTACAAAACAATTACTGAAATAATTTAAAATCTACAGGCGGCATGCAAATATTTTCTCATACAAACACAGTTGAGATATTCCTTTCATTGGCAAGATACAGGGTTAAGAAACTTAGCATGTACGCAGATTTGAGTTTTATGGAAGCCTTTAGCTGCCAGAGCAATAAATCCAGCAGCAAGATCTTGTTATAAACTATACGAGAAGCTTTCTCATTTTAACAAAACAAGTTTTATGTTTCATTAAAACGAGGAACGTCCTTGTTTTACTAAGCTATAAAAATACATTCCTTCTTAACCTTTGTATGTAGAAATGGGGTCCGACTGACCCCACACACGTAAAACTTGTATAATTTGCCATAGTCCTCTACGTTTGCCTCAGTCCTCCCACGAACAAGGGTGCGGTTTCTTCTAGAGACAGGTAAACAGTCCTGGAGTTGTTGCTCTTTTTACTGTTAGAACCGTCAAAACGAGAACACACTTTGATTTTAATGATATGTAAATCTTGTAAATCTAGCCCCTGTAGTTAAATTCGTCTGTAGAATTTAGCATTAGCAATGATGCTGAATTAGTTAATAGAATCTTTCTTAAATATATTTACATTTTTAACACTATTCTAACAAGTTGGCAGGAAAATACTCTTCCTGACAACCACAGCTAAGACTTACCGTTCATTAGCAATCTTCTTTAAGGTTAAACAATTTAGCAAGCTAGCCTTTAGCACTTAGCCTTTGCTAAGCTAGCCAAAGTTGGATTAAACGTTAATTCTTTCTCCAGCAATGACACTTTATCAACCAACATCAATTTTTAATATTCATTATGTTCATAATCATGCAAAATGAAAAATACTAGCCTTAGGCTACCGTTCAAACAAGAACAACTGTTAATGAATTAACAAATTTAGTTAATTTCTAATTAACATGTTGAGGTGTAGTTACACAGAAAAAAAATATATACAACATTGGTCAAATGTAGCCATTATTAAACATATATTAACTAATACACTTGATTTATGTGTAAATATTTCTAGTTGTGCGTATGTCTTCTTCCAAAATTAATTTTTAAGTGCATGAGATCAATATTAGTAAATTACTGAAGAGCATATATACTATTCCGATGATATATCAGAACTAACAGTTTGGGATCATAACACCCAGAGTCATAGGTTAATAGTGTTAAATTCCTGTTGATTGTGTTTCTTCCTACCTGCAGGTGGTCTGAGTTTACAGAGTTCCCTCAGGAGCGCAGTTCCCTCAGCCTCATCTCGACAGGAGGTTACCTGTACGCCATCGGAGGCTACGCCATGATGCCCAGCGAAACCAGTGAAGAGCCTGTACCAACTGAGATGACCGATATCTGGAGGTGAGAGGCCACGTTACATGACTGCTGTGACGTCTCACTGTTTCTTTGACCTTTTGTGATTTAAATGCACATAAAGATTGTGATTAAAGAAAAAAAAAAACTAAAACTCATTATATAGATTCATGACAGAGTGGAATATTTTAAGTCTTTATTTTTATGACTCACAGATGCTGAAATTCATAATTAATGATTATCTAATTAATTAATAAAGCAGAGTATTTTAAACAGATATTTCAGGCTTTTGAAAACATGTTAATTTTTATGCACTGAATACTGCATAGGGGCTCATTTTATGGGAATTACTGCATCTGTGGAGCGAAGCATGGATTTTATCAGTTTCTACTGAGATGTGTGTAATTAAAATATTTAATATCTGAGTTTCACTTTCTGTATATAAGTATAGGTTATTATATTTTATTTTTTTTAACAATATCCACATTTTTTAGATGTACCAGTCAGTTAATCTCCAGTATCTAAAACATAAATGTAAAAAAAAGAAACCCTGACATCCAGCCCATACTGTATCTGTGGCGGTCCTCCAGTTTGTAAGCTTAAAAACCTCAGTCGTGCTGCCACGTTCATTTTAACAAAGAGCCTTTCTCATCAAGGTCAGCGTTTAGGACGAACCATGCAGATAGAAGCGTATAGAGTCTGAAATGGAGAGTTTGGATTCTATTATTTTTATTTCTCTGAACGTTGCTGTGTCTAAACTCTGGGTTTAATTTGCTTGGATGTCTTCTCCTAGGAACATTAGTAAGTATTTTATCTGCTGTGTGTTGTTGCAACACCTGTTATATGAAACCCTACAAGAGTTTCTCTGAGGAAATCATTCTTTGAAGGTCTGCGTCTGGTACACTGGGATCATTGTTGCTGCTCTACACCGTTTCACAATGCTACGATGAGTACAACCAGCACTAACATGTGTGTCTTTTCTGCAGATATGATGAGCCAGAGAAGTGCTGGAACGGGATTTTGCGAGAGATTTGCTATGCAGAGGGATCCACCATTCTCCCAGTGCGACTCAACACTCTCCGCCTAACCAAGTTATGATCCAGCTGAACTGCTGCTCTGTTGGGTTTCACGTTGTATGCTGGAGGAAATATAATTCTTCTATGTGGACATTTTCCTAAAATTAGCTTGGGGTACAGAGTGATTCAGAGGCAACCCTTAAAGACAAGAAGAAGCAATGGGTTATGAGATCAGAGTGAAGCTGTTTTATCATGTGCTGTACAGCAGGGGGAGACAGAGACATGGCAACTGATTAAAGCCAAAGAAGAAGGACAAACATCACCAACTTCAAGAAATTTTGATCTGTGTATCTTTCCTTTTGGTGTATTGTTTCATTAAGTTTGTTTACTACGTATATTATAATGCTGCATTCAAATAAAAGATTGTTGAAAAAACTACTTTCATGGCTGAACAGAAAAGGTACTGAAGCCAAATCAGAGTGCAAATGTTTATATTCATTTTCATTTGTTCAGTAACAACCTTAAATTCTACACCACACACAAAAAAGACACTTCCTCTAACAACAAATTAAAGAGACTCTGTCATCTTTACACTGACATGATGCAAATAGCACAAGTGGGAAACGCAGTTTTAAATGTAAACCTTGACTTCTAGCTGACACCTGAGTACTAAGCATCATCATAAATTGCATCGTAAAACAAATCTGTTTGCATATTTACATTATAGCAATATATATACAACAAGAGCTCTCTGTGACGTTAAGTTCAAGGTACATATTTAGCTCCGTATTTAACCAGCACGGGAAAAGTCACATGATTTACGCTGTAGTTCCCATTTCCACCACTCTGATAGTTTCAGTTTTAGTTGTTTTTTTGTTTGTTTGTTTTTTTATCAGTGGGGTAAATGGGCTTATATACTTAAAAAATATTCACACCTCTTTAGTTTTTACACATCTCACCGTGTTACAACCGTATCAATATAGTTTATAGGAATTGTGTTGTACACCATCAAAATTAGCATTTAATTGCGAAGGAAACTGTCCACATTTTTTCTAAACGCATACGAATCTGAAAAGTGTGGCTGGCAAAACTACATTTAATCTGATACTGCAACATGAAATCTTTCCCAAGCAATTCCCTTTTGAAATGTTTCACTTAGGAAACAGAGTGAAGCTCTAAGCAATTTATTCTCAGCATAAATCTAGCAGTTCTGTTCAGATGTTTGGTAAGCTGAAAAAAGAGAATGAAAAAAAAATGTAGTTAATTTGTTACATGTAATCAAATTAAGTTTGTCAAACTTAATTCATTTACATTTGTTAAACATGACAACTTAATGAACTTCATATATTTACTTGGGTAAACTTAATTTTATTACGTGTAGCAAATTAACTTTTTTTTTTCAAAGTGGGATCACTTGTTTTCTTTTTTCAGTGTTGAAGATGATAACGAACACAGCAAACATCAGGGTTTAAGTTCTTAAAGTCAAAACATCAATCCAATGTCATTTACGAGTTTGTGACTTAAAAATCACAAAAACAACTGTTCACAGACGATGTCCATCCACTCTAACTAGGCTTGAGTTGTTTACAAATGAGAACAGGGAAAGAAAAATTGGCATCTATCTGCTAAATTAGACCTGAAGCTGTGATCATACTGAATGTTTAACACTTTTCATATTTCTATTTGTAAAACCTTTGTAAAAGAGCTGTTTAGAAACCTGGCCTAAAATTAAAGAAAAAAAAAAGCCTAAATTAAATAAACTCACAAGGGAGTCGTAATGGAATTATAATGAAGCTGAGGAAAACATTTTCATCTTTTTATATAAAAAGATTCATCCTTAGGAAACAATGAACAGATGAAAAAAAAAAGACAATTTATCTTGTCAATGTCAACGTACACAACTGTCAGTGGAAACAAATGGTAACAACAGTACAGGATATTAACAAAAAAACCACAACTAAGCCATTTATGCATGCAGTCCAGACAACAGAAGATGGCTTCAGCATTCACTGATGTTACACATCTGCTACATCCAGAAACTAAAAGCCTCTGTTATCTGAGCAAAGTTTCACAAGCCGGAGCTTGGAATGTTATCCGGCAGTAATTCAGCCGAGCGTATGGTCCATATAAAACTGTCACAGACAGGATAAGCACATCCAGTACGCTAGCTGTGCTATGGACGCCTCCTCCTCAGTGACTCCTGGTCAGAACAGTCCCATCACCGATATCGATACATTTTGTCCCCTTTGCAACAAAACCCTAACCTCTTGCTTCTCTTTGGATGATCAGTCAGCAAACGATAATTAAGTTCCTTTTAAACGCAGAGCAGCTAGAGGAAGATCTCCCTGCCTGTGTTAGCACGTTGCTACGCTGTAGCCAGTGTTGCTGTTGTCAACATTGAGTTCAGGTTTGTTTATTTGCTTGGCCTTTTTGCCAACTCTCACACTAAGTGATACTTAGTGATATATAGCTGCTGTTTCCCCTTTGTCTCATGTCAGTCGTTTAAATCTCACTCAAAGCAAAAACACTTCTTACCCACTGTGCTATTTTTGACTGGTTCTAAACAGAGTGACAATTTAACGTTTTGCCTCCTTGGTAGGTAGTTTGTAAAGCAATGCAGACACCTAGGAGTCATGTAACCACTAGCCTGCGACGGCTCCTGTTTGAGATCGACTAGATTTTATTCTTTACAATTATTTGGTCCAGTTTAACTTATCTGTGGAACAAAATTATTCTTCTGCATTGACATTTTACCAGCTAACGTTGCTCCTCTGTTAGCTTAAAGGTGAATTCAGGACGACTTCTTCACACTGAGCTGAGAATTTGCCGCCTCTGAATTGCTAGTTTATAAAATGTGATTATACTCAAAGGCAGACATTTACGGTTAAATAACCAAGTACAATGTCACTTTTTTTGATTTATCAGAACCTATTTATCACAGTTATGAGATCCAATCAATCTTATTTAGGTATTACAATTGTTATTCAAGCTCAGAACATAAATAATCGATTCATAATTCACAATTCATTCAAACAGCCAGTAGTTAATGATATTGTCAATGTGCCGCTTTTGGTACTAATGTGTGTTTCCTTCCCTTGGATATTAGTATTTTTGCAGAGGAAAAATACGATTTAGATTCATGATATTAAGATGCTCAGTAATATTTCTCAGTTAAGTTAAGTTTGTCTCAGTTGTTTGATCTGCAGCATCATCTGCCATGATGGCCAAGAACGATCGCCAAGGACAGACTTATGTTAGTACCATGACTCCACATTCAACATGATCCAACATATGAATGAACAAGCGGACAATATTAAAATGCAGCTATAGGTAGTGAAAACAGGTCCCTCTTTGACTATGCACTCTGTTAAGTGTTCAACGTGCATGACAGCAGATCTGCATGTCATCTGCATGTGAGCTGTGCTGGAAACTCGGGCGTTATAGCAGCTAAAAACAGAATCCACAAGTGTTGAAAATGCTCGTGAATCAACCAAATCAATCACGCTGAAAAGAAGCAAAAGTAGATTTGTGCCACTTTTAAGTTCTAAAGACGATCATTACCCTTGTCACCACTTGTTTCAGCCTCCACATCCACTCCTTCATAGCTGGTGTGTTATGAGTCACATGCTGGCTCAAACATGCATGGCCCAAACCCCTCCAGCTCTCCGTTTTGTATTCCTCAGTGAGAAACTCGTTTGAATCTGTCTAAAGTTGCTTGTCAAGCAAAGGCAACGAATCAGCTTGAATCTCAGTTTTTTTTTTTTTTGTCAGAACTCTTTGCAATTATTCTTGATATGTACAATCTTGTTCCTAGGTTTTAAGTGTTTGAGGCTTTTATTTTGAAGTAAAAAAGGGACATCCTTCCTCCTGTCTTTCACAAATCTCGCTTCACGTTGGAACGAAAAGTTGGTGACCCTGTGCCAGTAGTCAGCCGCGCTGCAGTTCAGCGAAATCTCTGTGATCGTAGCTGCTTTTATATAATCTGGAAAAAAGAAAAGTAAAAAAGAAAAGGCGTGTACCTTCTTTACATTTCATTAATAAGAAAGTGTTGTTGGAGGTGTCAGATGACTTTGTGCCCTGGCGAGAAAAAACACTGAGCACCTGTTGCTTTTCATAGCCAGCATATAAGATTACAACAACAAAAACAAAAAAACAAAAAAACAACAGAAAATCCATGTTAGGATTATCATGGCTTCTGTACACCCAGTGTATGGCAACAGTACGTGTGAGTCACACATTCGTTAACCGATAATAAAAACCAGAAGGGGGTCAGATTGCAGAAAGGTGCTCCTGGCAGGCCGAAGCCCGCCGCGTGATGGGGCTGCATTTGGTCAGCAGGGTGATCTGGGTGCTGAAATTGTTGCCGTTGCTCCCGATGGACGGCTGCTGGTACTTAGTGTCGGCGCCGAGGAACCGCTGCAGCATCCACCTGCGCCACTTACGCTTAACCTCGGACTGCACCTGCAGGGGAGGCCGAACGAGAGAGCAAACAGTGTGGAAAGGGGGAAGGAGGTGGAGGGATGGGTTAAAAAATAACAAACTCTGTGGCTTTTTAAATGAGAAGAGCAAACACCTAAAAAAAAAACAACTTTGTTTGAATTTACTCACCTCTCCGTTCAGGAAGCAGTACAGCACCGCAACGACGAAGCCCTGTCGGAGAGACGCAGAGGTGAAGGAAGAGAAAGCCGTGCTGCACAGCACAGCCGAGGGAAATGCTCCAAATATTTGCGCATGAATAATGACGGCAAGATCAAGACCAACTTCAGGCTGAGACAGGAGGTTCATCATGCGGACGTCTGGGACATGTTCCCGGGAGATAGCGCTCTGAGCCAAAACGGTTATAAACGGGGAGGATTTTCCACCGCTGGCTTTCCATTTTTGCACTTTGCTCTCAACATCCATGTCCAGTGGAGTACTGCAAATCAGGGGTGTCCAAACTTTTTGTACCAAAATCGCCGAGCCGACAACACTCGGAGGCCAGTTATTTATTAAGAATGCAAAAGCAATTTTATTGTTCTTTTCTTTTTATCCGCTCCGCAGTAAATTAAAGTAATTTTTCTGTGGAATTACACATCCACAAAAAAAAAGAAAAAAAGAAAAACAAGTTTCCTAACTTGATTGTCAAGATATTGTTTTTAGTTTTTCCCAAAATCCCAAAAAATGAGAACTGTCTTTGAAAACCCTCAGCGAGATTTAGCCCACTTTAATTGTTAGGTGTGACTGAGTCTGTTTTTGAGTAAAACGTCGCTGGAGATTTGTTAGATGGCGTTAAAAGTGAAACCAAAAAATAAATTAATAAATAAAAAAAAATAAGGCTAATTAAAGAAAAACACTTGTTTTGTACATAAAAATTTCTATTTAAGATGTAAAATTGTCATTAAAAAACACAAAAAGTCTCCATCTGCATCAGCCTAATTTATACCGCTCCTGACCTGCATCAAGGGCCACACAAAACTCCTCTAAGGGCCACAAATGGCCCCCGGGCCGCACTTTGGACACCCCTTGCTGTAAATCAAGTAACTTATTCCAAATGCACAACAGTAACTATTAAAACACACTATTCTGTGTTTCTCTTGATATCACCTATTAAATGTCCATTTATATAAAGACTTTCTGTCTGGCTGAAATGAAAACAAACAGGCTTTGCAAAGCGATCAGGTGTGTTACCTGAAATGAGCCCAGAACCAGATCGAACACCATCCTGAGCTGCGGGTGGATGTGTTCGGGGATGAAGGCAAATATTATGTAGTTTATCCCAAAGAGAGGGATTAATAGCAGGGTGGATTTAGTCAGTCTCCTGAAAGCAGCAGAAACAGAAGAAGGAAAATTTATAAACAATGTTTTTCTTTTTGTTTTTTACATATTTGTTAAAACTGTCCCTGTTGTTACAGTATAATAAGCTTTTCTGTCTCCTTCCTGTGGTCCTATTGCCATCTGCAGAAATACACCAGTCAGAAACAACCAATCAGAGCCAGGAGGAGGCTCTTAGCGCTGTCAATCAGCCCTGTATACACATTGCTCTCCCTGTTTTAGTTATGCATTCCTTTGTGTTGCTCTACTTACATAAACATCTAATACAAACTGTGTGTTTATAACATGACAAAATTGAAAAAAATACGCCTGAATGCATCTGGAAGGTATTGTGTAGCTTCGTTCGCTAAGAACAATAACTTAACAGCAAATTTTAACAGCAGGAAATTCAGCTGAACGTTAACCTTTGCCTTAACAGACACGTTGACGTTTGGCAAAGGCAAACCTACGAGTACTGGTTGGACTCCTTCCTTCCGATGTCGGGACAGTTCATTTTCTGCCGCAGAATCCGGATTATGCAAATGAAGAGGAAAAAGTTCATCTGATGAACAGAGAAGTGGGACGCTGGTTAATGGGGAGCATCAACGTGAAGCGTCAAGAGCCTGCGTTTGGTGTAACTCACAAGAATGGCAACTAAGATGGGCGTTTTGATGATCCACCATGACGCGTCGTCGATTGTTTCCCAGCATCTGACAAAAGAGAGAGCATAGGCTAATAAAAGCAGGAAGCAATACCACATTTATAATATACACAAAACATTTTTTTAAACTATTGACTCTGGGAGCAGATTAGAAATGCATGCCACACTTTTCAGATTAATTTTTTTAATGTAGTGTGTTGGAGAAACAGTTGGGAAACTGTCCAGTTTACGGTTCAACGTTTTGCTGCTAAGAAACTCTCCTACATTTGCTAATTACAACAGTGCTGTTTACTTCTAAGGTGTGAAAGCTTTATGATCGAAACAACAACAAAAAAAAAAATCAGCAAGAAAAAATGGAGTGAGAGCCTATGTGAAGTGTCCTTCTTCATGAGTCTAAGAATTTTTACCAGTTGTAAAAAAGTCGTTGAGTCTTCAGTCAAACCATCAGCTAAATTACAGGGAATTGGCTTTCCAACAGTGCGTGCACCTGCTCACCAAAAGTTCTCGTTTTCTGGGATGTTTTTAGAACATGACAGAACGCTCAACTCACCCAGGAGGATTTAAATACACTTTTGTAACCACCCAAGCAGAAATGAAGATGGTTGGAGCCCCTGTGAACGGACAGCAGACAGAGTTATCTGTAACTTCAGAGTTAAAACATTCATCGTCTCAAACTGGAGTCATTGGCTACAGCCACGGGCATCCAAACAACCATTCGCAACACCAAGATGCTCCTAATAAGTGGGTGAACCATGCCTGAATTACTTTACAGCCGAAGCAGTTACGCATTTTTTTCAGTATGCTTATCTTTTTTTTTTTTTTTTTTTTTTTACAGGATTCTTATGAGCTCAGTGCCAGTATTGGTTCATCTGGGGACTCTGCAGTGAAGTCACAGGGTTCTCTCCATTATCCTGCTGGAAAAGATCAATTCAAGCCCATTTTATAGACATTTTATTGGTGTGTTAGGGAAAATAAAACATGGTTACCGATTATCCGTCTCAATGATTTTTAAAGGGCGAAGAAAGATGTAAAAGCAAGAAGCGTCAGATTTTGGCAGCTCTTCTGTGAGAAAGTTTGGATTTTAATGAATGACTGACACAAAGAGGAAACGTTTAATCTTTAGGCTAAAATCGGTTTCATGTTTTTGATAACTTAGTTCGGCTCTTTGAAAATTAGTTGAATCGTAAGCTGCAAGTGCAGAGATGCTGAAATCAACATTTACTTTGCAAACATGTCACATAAGTTCTTTAAAAAAGCGAGACTGCCATGTGAGCACTTACCCCACCCAATCAAAATGTACCACCAAAAGTACTTCCTCTCTGAGAAGAAGGAGACTGCCAACAGAGCGTGAAGGTAGAGGCCCTCCACCAGCAGCCAGAAGTAACTCGCCATGACTCCATACTGGAACAAGACCACTACCGCCTTGCAGCCCACCTGCAACACAAACATCAGCCTGTGGCTCACTGCTGTCACAATGTAAATGTATTTCAAGACGAAAATAATGAACTTTAATTCCCATATGAAATTGCTTTTGCAATTTTTCTTCTCCTTTTTACAAAGGATTTGCCATTTAATTATCCAATTTGTGCTTATGCCGACGACACTGTTGTTTCATCCACTTGCTTTCATCTTTTCTTAAAGAGTCAGAGCCACGTGCAATTTAATGTTAGCTTGGTTTAAAGTGGTTCAAACAGAATGTGATGTGTGCTGTCTGACTGAATTTTAGACATTCTTGTCATTTGTTGTTGATTTTGATGTCAGCACTTGTGAAGGTTGACTCCCTCAAATATCAACTCCTCAGTGCGGTTAATTATTTAGCCTTTCGGATGAGGAAGAAAATAACAACATGCCTCAATGGTTGAATTAGCTTCAATTCGGTAACAGGGGTGTGCATAAGACTGACATAACACTGTTATAAACATGATATAACACCTAACATGACCATGAAGAAGTCTTTAAGAATGTTTATGACTAGTGTCATGAAGAGACATTCGGTAAATAATGACAATTTCAATGCAAAGTTGGTGATACAACCAGACGTGATGAATTGGAAATCATGTTTTGAAATGTAAATTTGTCTGTCGATTTCAAGCAACGCGTTTGCTCCCAGTGGAATAAAGCTCGCGTTCTTTAAGGCATTTGCAAGGAATGATTCACCAGATTATAGCAGAACATTCTGCTCCAGCTAATCTGTCTGCTCTGATGCATTTTATCTTCATTCAAATGAGGCATCGGCTGCGCATTAAGAAACGGATAGAAATCCATTTGAGCCACACGTGGACAAACTGCAGGCGAAACGAAAAGAGTGTCCCGTTATCAGAGACCACTGCCGTCCATGACGCACAGCGTGAAATATTTACAGCTGTGTGAACGCCGGTGGTCACTGTGGCGAAGGGGAGGAAAAACGGCGCGAGAACAACTTTGTGATGATGTGGTTAAATGTTAATTCTGTTATCTCCAAAGAAAAGGCTGTTTTGTTTTTTTTATATATATATTTAGAAACATTTTCCCTTCATTCATGAAGCAAAAATAAGGCAATTTAATACGAGTAATATTTGTGCAAACAAATTATTTGTTTCTCATTTTTTAAGTTTTATTTTTTTTTCTTCCATCATTTATGACCTATAGCTGTACTTGTAAAACATAAAAAAAATCCTGCTGTTTCTCATATTCGGATCGTGAGCCTGGATCTCGACGGTTGTGCTGGTGTCATTGGAGCTTTTTGCATTGTGAATCAGAGACAGAACAAAACAGAAGGCGTCAAGCATAAAAAAACATCCTTTGACCCACTTGAGCTTTTCATTCCAACTATCTTAAACCAAAGTATAAAAAGTCACTTTTTAAAGTGTTTTCAGAAACATCTTTGAAATTTAGCAGCTGTGTTTGGTGTTGAGTAATCCTGGAATCCCTGAGACGAAATATCTCCCCTCAGCCATTAACAATCAGCCCTCAGAGCAACAGGCTATTTACAGTGTAATGATCTAATTCTAGGTAGAGATAATGGAGATGAATCAGACAAAGCGAGATTTTGAAAAAAAAAAAAAAAAAACTCCACTGAGTCCCACTGAAACAGCTGTGCTGCACTAAAACGACACAAGACGTTTATTTGACTCCACCTTAGTGCCTGCGGTAACACTGGTGTCGAGATGAACTGCTTCTAAGAAGACATCGCACTTGTAAATGCAGTTTATTGCCAATGGTGTCTGCGGTCCAGGTTCAGCGTTAAACAAACAGGAACTTTCACAGCATCCTGCTTTACAGAAGAATTAGAAAACCTGGGCTCAGGAGCGTAACGGACTCTGCAAACATTGCTACACCCTAAACGTTAGGTAAACCCTGAGCTAACACTTTTAGGGCAGTAAAGTCTGAAAGAGAAGATGCGTCAACTAACACAGGAAATCAACGATTTGGGAGAAAAATGTACTAATCATGTAGTTTCCCTGACGTGTTGTCAGGGAAACAGCAGGGCCGGCACAAGCCTTTTGGGGGCCCTAAACAGATTTTGATTCGGGGCCCCTCATACAAACATGTCAAAACCAGATACTATGTCATTCCTAGCCTACATTATACCTGTAACATACCTGCTATTATTAGTGTCTTTGTGATTAGCTTACACTGCAAAAACACAAAACCTTACCAAGTATTTTTGGTGTAGTTTCTAGGTCAAATATCTTATTACACTTGAAATAAGACAAAACTAGCTATTTATTTTAGAAAGAAATAGGAGCTTGTTTTAAGTCAATAATTCCATAATATTGGTTAAAAATTACTACTTACATTGGCAGATGTTTTCCTCTTATAACACGGAAAAAATGTTGTTTTATAATCTACCAGTGGAACTAGAACTGTTTTATTAATAAATATCAAGGAATTATTGACTTAAACTCCTATTTCTTGCTGAAAAGTTAATTGTAAGTTAGTTTTGTCTTCTTTTAAGTGAACATAGATAATTTACACTAGAAACTGCAAAAAATTATAAAATCTTACTAAGTATTTTTGGTGTGGTGTACATCTTACCAGTATTATTATGACTACCGATGTTAACCTTGTTACAGGAGTAGCAAACAAGCAAAGGTGTTCTAATTAATTCACATTTTGAAAGGCAGAGTGGTATCTATAAGTGTGGCGTTTTAATTTAACTGTTTGAAAGTAACATCTACAGACACTGAATTCACAGTAAACAAGTTAGCAAGTTTAACAGTTTTTGGCTTTAAAACGTGGGGTAGAACGTGTAGACTGTGTAAAATATTTGCAATCTATCACTACAAAATCAATTCAAATGAGGCTCTTGAGAGCCCTAAGCAGCCGCTTAACTCACATATGCCTGGGGCCGGCTCTGTAAACATCGTTGGTCATCTCGATGTATTCAGGCTGATCTGTGTTTGGCGGATCAGACAGCTGAATGAACGGATTTACTCACCGGTGCCTGGCAGTTTTCCGTCTCGCCCACTTCGTACAGAACCACGTCCTTTATAAAAACAGTGATGGCTTTTAGGATGAGAGATACAAACAGATGCATGTGGATGTAGTTTCTTGTGCAGTGAAGCTTCCTGCAGAAAAAAAAAAAAAGATCACATCCAAAAGGAGAGTCTATATTTAGACGAGCTGCATCGGTTTACCCAAGCAAAGCAGAAGTAGATTAGTGTTTGTTACTGTTGACTGTCGTAAATCAAAGTTCTGTTGCCGGTTCCGAATGCCAACACATAAACCCTGAAGAAGTCAAGAACTAAATACAGTATCTGTTAAACACATAAAAGATTTAGATTTCCCGGAAAAATGCAAATTTATCAGCCAGAAACAGATGTGCAAACATCCAAGTTGACAACCGGCAGAGTCGAACAATTTCAAGGATTTGACGACATGCCACTAATGCGAATTCTTCACTCCGAGTGTTTTCAAACAGCGGTTAGGCAGATGACTTTGGTTTAATTGTGTAAAACCGCCAGGCGGATTATCTGAGCAGATCAGATGAGATGCGGCGCAGCATCAGCCAGCTGCCCGAGCGCTGCATGTAAAGCTTAACGTAAACAGCAAAGCCTCATGACATCCTGTGTTTCTGCTGCGCGGCGCGGGCCAATGGCATTCCGTGACCCGCTGGAGTAAACACAGGCCTTGTTGTTTAGCCCATCATGTGCAAACAGCACAAATGCGATGTGAGAAGAATAGGCTGCTTGCTAAAAAAGCCAAACACCCTCTGGCTAAACTTATCAGTGTCGCGTTATTGTTTAAGAGGAAGTCGAGACAGAGGGTCAAAACTGGAGGATAATGTAAACATCGTAGTCAAACCCCGCTAAGTGGTTTGACTATACAATATATAGCTTGAGTTTATAGTCACTTACGGCTAATAGCGTTGCGGTGTTCATGCAAGAAATGTCAAAGTTTTAAAAATTCTCTTAAGCTTCTGTAAAATAAAGGGAAGGAGCATTAAGACATGGTTTTACTGGTCGATCGCAGTGGTTTTCAAACAAGTGACACTTGGGCACACTTGACAAATGAATTAACTGGGATGTAGGGATCCAAACACCGACGGTCAAAAAGATCTTTTTAAAGCATAATGGACGTTACTTTATGATAAATTACAAAAAAAAGTGCAAATAATTTCTTACTGCAGTTTTGACAAAGATTTAAGTGCAAGACAAACAGATTAGAAGTTTAAGATAGGTTAGATAGGAACCTTTTAGGTCATTTAAAAATAATAGTAATAATTAAAATAATAAAATAATAATAATAATAATAATAATAATAATAACCAGGACATGTAAGAAGAAATAGAGTAAAAAAAAAAACATACACAACCCAATTATGAAACTGAAAAGCAAAAAGATCCATAGGGTCTGTCGTAATTCAGGATCTGCATCCTCTAAAGGTCGCCTGTGATGACGTCACAGTGATGCGACTAAGGCTGTGGAAATTTGAATGCTCCAAAAAAAAAAACAACAAACAAAAAAAAACTGCTAAATATCAGGCTTGCCCTTTTAGAACAATTTTGTTTTATAAAATCTGACGGTAAAAAAATCAAAAGCTTAATGCAGATGTGTTCGATTTTTGATATATGCACATATACATATGATTATCTAAATCAAAGAGAAAAAAACATAATTAATTTTTTGAGTTCATTAATTTAATTAATAAAAAGGATTAAATGCATAATAAAAAAAACCCCTTCAAGATTTCAACCTCTGGTTTTACTAGCTTATGTTTAGCTACTTTGCGGTTGCTAGGAGACAGGACACAACAGAAGTAAGGGCTGTAATAAACTTGAAGCCATTCACTTCCGGTGTACGCCAGGTTCTTTGAAGGAAGCAGTCCCTGACCCCAGACAGACCCCAGACTGAGTTAAAATGAAACCTACGAGCTAAAATAAAGTCACCTTTTCCACATAATATAAATAAATAAAGGGCTAAATGAAGTCAAGAACTAGACAGCCATAAACGAGGCAGCCATGGACCTCCAGTGTTCATAGGGATGATAGTTTGTTGGAAAACTGTGCTCTAAACGATGAAATAAATAGATGTTTTGCTTGAGAACAATCCTTACCGAAAGAAACAGAGTATGGAGATGGCAACCATCAGAGAAATAAGGGAAACGCTGTGACCGATTGTGTAGCCGACTTTGATGGTGATGTAAAAATCTCCCTGCAACAACATTATCAGTCATACCAGACTCAAAAACAAAAGTAATTTCGAGATAAGAAAAAAACAAAACAAAAAAAAAACAGAAAACACATGAATTCACATCAGCATCGAGTCGCCAAACTGACCGAATTCTCCTCTGCGGTGTTGTTGGGGTTGTAGCCGCAGCCCAGTATGTAGGAGTCCAGGCTGCTGGGGGGCCAGCCCTGCACGGTGCAGGTCTTTGACAGATTACCTGAGGGAGCAGACACAGGAGAGTTACCGCCGTTTCGCTGTGGCGCGATGGCGTCTCTGGCACGCGTCGTGTAAAAGCAGAGCGATGAGTAGGGCTGCTGAATGGGGAATCAACAGCTCTTACTTTTACTCACTCTTAATTATGTTTCTGTGAGATATGCTCGTCTCTGTGGGATACTCCCAAACACTGAAAGGGAAAAAAAGGGGGGATGGCTTTCCAACTGGCTCTGAGATACAGACACAGTTCCCATGTGTATTTGCCTCCATCAGTATCTTCATTACTCTCACACTGCGCCCACCCACACACACACACACACACACACACACACACACACACACAGATAAACAAAGAGGTCGAGCAGAGATGTTTTTCTTTGAGGGGGCAGAGGTGAAAGAGCTGAAGACAAATAGCTAAGGAGTAGAAAGTTGCCCTTTAGTGAACGGATTAAACCAGTTAAGATCAGCGGTCAATGGAGGGAAGGAGATGATGAGGGAAAAAAAGAAGAAGGAAAAAGGAGCTTTGGAGAGGAGAGAGAAGATAAGAGGAGGACTGAAGAGTTGTGCGGACTGGGAAAATATTAAGGACAGTAAAGGAGGACGCAGGGAAGAAGATTTAAGCAAAAAATAAAACCGGGCACACTGGATGAGAGAAGAGAGGAAATATAAAAATAAAAGAAGCTAAAATTTAGAAGAAAAAAAAGTTAAGCAGAAATGCAAACTAATGAAGAAAATACTATTCTCTAAGTTACATTCAAAAAATAAAACGTGCATTTCCATAAATCTTTTATTGTTTTTCATTCTGTAGTTCAACTTTTACTCTCCGTCTTCATTCGTTGTGCTATTTTTCACAAACACTTTCTTGTTCTTTTTTCTTCATGCTCTCTTTTGCTGCTGAGCCTCATAGAGATGATAAATTAATTTTCCACCTGGCTCCAGTCCACACTGCCAAAAGCACAGATAACTACATTAAAGACTCAGGAAACCAAAAAGACCAACAATCTGGGCTGATATTAACCCCAATAAAAAAAACGTACGCCACACTGGTACTGCCAAGTAAAGTATGACTGACATTTATGTGACTAAAACACCTTCTTCAATGGTTTTATGTAGTACTTGCATTTTCTAAGAAGCTGAGTTTTATGTTTTGGGTACGCGCAACAAAATTAACAGATTTAAACACCTGAAAAGTTTGTGTTATCAATCTACATATGAGCTTATTTCTTGTTATTGTTGTTTTGTCTGGTTTTGTTTATTGTATGTGTATTTTTTTTTTAGAAAGAAAATTACCTAAACTAATTATTTTCTAAATTAAATTCACATGAATTTAGATGTATCTATATAAGTTAACACAAATCTCTAAACTTAGTGAGTATTTCAGTAAGAACCATTCCTATAAATATTTTTGTCGGCCATTTTGGAGTTCCATTTCGTAACATTTCATGTTAGCGCTCTAGGGGCTAACATGTTCAAGATGGGCAACTTTCATTTCAAAGTTGTTCGTCCAAATTAGGGCAAGTCAGGTCCTGTAATCTACAGGCCAGATAAGTTTGTTTTCCTGTTGGGAAGGTGCAGTAGGGGAACTAAAGCAGAAGGGTGATGGTGCTTAAATTAGAGACCCATGATCAGGTTCAGACAAGCCTTCACGGATCTCTCCAGGACAAAGTTTGCGTCAGGTTACCAGAAATAGTGAACAACATGGTGTGTGTTCCCCTTACTGGCTTTGTAAGTCATTGTTGGAGCTACAACTCATCAAGTCCAGCTCTGCTTCTCATCAGTTCATCACCCAGTAGTGAGCTCCACCTCCTGCAAAATCTACTAAGAACTATTCACCAGTTTCAGCAGCAAATAGTCTGCAGGTTTCTGCTTTTCTAACTTAGAAAATTCAACTTGAAGTTGATAAAGAAGGAATGATCATAGTCCAGACAACACATTAGCATTAAAGATGCTTAAATCATTAAAGTGTCACCATTTTTGGTATCCAGTAACAAAAATAAATAAATAAAAAAGGATACAGACTTTTACGAAAGTGATTTACGTGTAAGATGCAGTTTTTAGTTGCTGTCAGATAATCGTAGCATTAACCTAACCTGGCTGAAGTTGTGAGCGATCATTACGATTTTCTGCGTTGTAGTTTGCCTGTAGTTTTAGCAATGGCAGAGGAGGAAACGAATGAAGCCGTTCAGACCGTGTTGGCTGGTAAGCTTCATACGTCACAGCTAAATGTTAGCTTCTGGGTAAAATTGAAGCAAATAACATAGAACAAGGATTTGTTTTTTACCAGGCTAACAACTAGCTAAACATTAAGTAAAGTTTGCTTCTGAAAAGTGAAACTCTTCCGGTAATAAGTTGGAAAACCAGCGTGATTTGCTTAAGATCTACTTATACAAGTTAGCAGCTATTAGCATTAGCATAAGCAAACAATAGAGGCTTTTTATTTGGCTTTTGGTAACCAGGAAAAATAAGTTCAGTGAAAACAAATTGGAATACTTACATTTATACATAACTCCTGGCTAAGTTTTAAATGTTATGTCCCATATTTGAATTAACAATATGTACCTGCTTAACAGTAAAACATAATTAATTAATTTTAAATATGATTATACATAGATATATGCAGAAAAAATAATAATTTCTAGTCCAAAATCTAAACTTTCTGATCTAAACAGAAAGTTTAATATTTTACACTAAAACCTGCTGAATATCAACTAGTTAAAGCTGGACTGGGATGATTATATATATATATATATATATATATATATATATATATATATATATAAACAGAAAGCAGTATGTTATCTGTGAAACCTATATTTTAAAGTAAAAATAAAAAAATTCAGACCTAAGTAGGTCCAATTTACATGTGCTTTGACTTCCCTTTATTTGTAAAACCTATTAATTTGAAATATGACAGTTCTTCCTGGTAGCTCTCTATTTAGGCCATTAATCATTAAACAGACATGTGTTCTGTTTAATGACACACATCTCACTTTGTGTTCAAGCATCCATAATCCTGCAGTAAAACAAATCACTGTTTGTTCCTCAACATTTCCTCATCTCATTTTGTGACAATGAGAAAAAGTGTCACGCGCCGGCAACAAATTAATCTGATTGCTGCAGGTTTGACATTCCTGACATATCACTTCTCTATCAAATTAAAGTGCAGCTGGTGAAACGTCAAACAGTTCCAGAGTGTAAGAATGTTTTCGGCATTAAAAATTTGGTCAAATACCTAAGCGGCATAATGCAGAGAAGAACGAGGCTTAGCTTCTTTAAACAATACGACAAGACACAAAGACAGAGATAAGCCTCCGCTGTTTCAGCCAATGCCACCGCTGGATTTGGCCTGTTTGAGGGATTGCCAGAAGAATGCTTTCATCGTTCCCCAAAAAAGCAAGACGCCGAGCATTTTCAAAGCCACGCGTGACAGTCGAGCCAAAATTAGTTCCTCGTAAAACAACAGTTGCATTTTTAGCCTCTTTAAATCAAAAATTATTTGTCAGCATAATCTATTCCACTCAATTATCATCTCTAATTAGCTCTGAAGATGGATGTTTGAAGAATTACATAAGTGTCAGCAGTTTTATGGCACTCAGGTGAAAGCGTTGACCTCCTGGCGCTCTGTCACTGCGAGCCCGGAGAGAAGGTGAGACTCCCGAGATGAATGGCTGCGTGTTTGCGCTCAGCCTACTAGGTAAAGAGTTCATGAGAATGGTAAACTGTCGTAGTTCAATTTATGAGAGTCGGCCCCTCGACGTCCGTGGCGCCACGTTTCGTAATGCTTGTTTTTACTGCGTGAGCCTTATAAAAAGAACGGCTCGGGATGTGTCAATAGCTCCGGCCTTTCACAACTGTTCCCGACGGTACAGAGCTGAGCAGCCCTTTTTTCCATATTTTCTAGAACACACACACACACACAAACAAAAGAAACACGTAAGCAGGTAACCATCATGTTTCTGCAAACTCTCAAGGTGAATGAGAACAAATGGACAAGAGGTATAAAATCCCTGACATTCCCTTCTTATATAAATAAGTTGATTTACAGATATCATGTGCAACAACTAGTTTCTCTTTCTGTTGTGACCTCTGATCTTCATCCTCTCCTGAACCATCTGGGCCTAATTGATCCTATGGATCTTTGCCATGTCAAGTAAACATAAATTTTCTCTCCAAAACCGACGCCTCTTAATCTTTCCTTCTATCTTTTCCCTGGAGTGCCGTCTTGGCCTAGGTCACACCAGCTCCCATCTGGGTCAAAGCAAAGCTTCCCACAGAAGCCTTCTTCTCTCGGCTGAACTCTTTGTATGCCCGTCGTAAATCTTAGATCCGGCCCCATTTTCATCCCCAAAAAGTGACGTACGAGCAGGAGATAGATTGTTCTTCCTGGCTCTAGATTAGACATCTCAATCTGAATTTCAATCACTTCCAGCGGACATTTCCAACCGGGATGAGACACACACACACACAATACTAGGAAATAGACACAAGACTACACGTTTGTGCACAGCTTTCTACATTTTGTCATATTCTTCATCTATTTTACAGGAATTTTGGATTGACCAACACAAAGTAGTGCAGCTGGAAGTGTGACAGACCACTTTACTCATAAATACTCCTAAATGAAATCCAGTGCAACCATTTTCATTACCCCTTTGACTTCCTTTGTAATAACAAAAAGCTTTGGAGCCATAATTGCACGAAAAGGTGGATCTACTGAGCATGAGTAAGTATTACAAGTGGACATTGTCCTTTATAAGAAATATTGAAAACCATGTATTATTTCTAGTACTGGAACTAAAAATTATCATCAAGTTAACTACAAGGTCTGTAATTAATCTATTAAAATCAATTCCATTTTAATTGAAAACATATTGGCAAAATAAGCAACACTTTCCATTTTAAAAGCCTTCTTGCTGCTAAATTATTGAGTAAATATACATTTGAGTTCAACAACAAAGATGTTTATTGTTTTTAATCTGTCATTTAGGTTATGCAGCCATCAGCTTGGTGCAAAGTGGTGAACCCCTGATCATTCATGGAGCTTCCTTGAAAATCTATTTTATTTATTTATTTATTTATTTATTTATTTATTTATTTATTTTACTGTGGAGAGTTGGGGACGTTTGTGCTGCTGCTACATGTTTAGCACTGAGAAGCTGCTTTAGGCTTGAATAGCTTCACTGATAGGCTAACTATCGTTTTTACAACAACTTGCACACAACAATGGTCTTTTCCAGCGTCCCATCAGACTGTTTTTTGAATCAAATATTAACCCCCAGTTGGCCAAAAGAAGCTGCTTTTATTTCCACTGCTGTTGTTTATGGAAGCAGCTTGTGCGTCATATTTACTGGCGTACCAGAAACACAACACAAAGGTTCCGCCTCTGGGCTTTTTATATAAGTATACATATATAAAAAAAAGTCCAGAGGCAAAAATGCAAGTAATTGCAAGTGTAAAGAAAATGCCAGTAATTGTGTTAAAAATTAGTCTATTTAATTAATTAATCTAAACTAATGCACTAAAGTTTTTTCCCTAGTTATTTTCCTTCAAATTCACATTTATGAGCTACTTTGTATTGGTAAATGACCTTTATTTGTACAGTACAGTAAAGAGTTTTACCCAAAGACACAATAACTGAGACGGACACCGCTGGTCTCTCACATATAATGCCACAAAAGTACGTTTACGTCTTTATTTGTGATGTCAAAAAATGTGGAAAAGGTTCAAGGAGTATTGCTACTATGTAAGAAACTTTATTAATAAAGAGTTTAACATGCATCTATTCTTGTAAGTAAACCTGTAATGTGCATGCACACCGTTCTGTCCTAAAAATTGCAGAGAATGATAAATAGGAAAGAGAAGAGCAGCAAGAAGGGAAAGGAGGTTGTGGATCGGAGCATTAGGGCCTCAGAGCAGTGTGAGGAATTCAGCCTGGTAAATTAGTTACAAAAACAGAGATCGACCCTATAGATCCACTTCTAGTTCAGCAGGAAGCAGCTGTAGCTGTTGTGCCTGATGCACAGGCACAGGTATTCACTGCCTGCCTTCAGTAAAGTTGAACCTTGACCCCGGCTCTCACAGCTCCAACTGAGGTCGGCGTTACACAAGTCAGGATGTCTCTCTATTAAACGAGTGGGTGGTCTTCAGGAACACAACCTGACTGTCACAATGAGACTTCTGTGTCCCAACTCTTCACTGCAAGGAAGTGAATGTATGATGATGTATACGAGTAAATCTCATCTTGTTAATGATGAGCGATGGCTATGAGTCCATGTCATGTCAAATCTTTTACTTTGTCTCAAATCACTGAACCTCTTCTACCTATGTGTGTTACTTTCGCCTAGCCACGGTTAATTTACAATAAAATGCGAAATATCCCAGCATGCAAAGGAAAACATGAAGTCAATGCATCATGTTTTGCCACTGCCTTCATATTGTAAACATTAATAAATTCATGCAAGTGTCAGGTCAACTTGGTACTTATTTCTTGAATTCTCTTTTATTATTCTTATTTTTTGTAATTGCTTTTTTATCTTTCTACTATGTATTCATATTTAAAGACACAAAATTGGTGCACCAACATAAAATTGAGGCTTTGCAGCTTGCAGAAGACAAATAAACAACTCCTTCAAATATTACAGCATAATTACACTAAAATGACCCAGTGTGACAATTAGTGATAAGCGGAGAGAAGCAGGGGATCATTTTCGGAAGTTCGGCCCAAACAGTCTTGCAAACCAGCCAGTAAATTCCTCGTCCAGGGGATAGTTCGCACATAATTAGCGTTGCATCCCCGCGAGGCTTTCACGCATCAAAGAAAGACAAATAAACAGCATGTTTTCTTTGATGGTGCTGCGAGAAGAACCTGTTTGTTTCATGTCACTTGGATGTAGAGCTGACGGCGTGTGACAGTGGAGCAGCATTACATCATATGTATGGCCCAGCGGGACGCTCTGAGCACCCTGTATTTCCGCTTTGTTTTTTCACGTATTAAGCACGATGATACTGGCAACAGCTGAAGAGGTGCGAATATGTGTAACTAAAAATGGAGAGGGGATGAGATGAGCAACATCCAAGTTTCGTCTGTTATCTCCCGTCTGGAAAAGAAATTCAGGCCTAAGCACTAAAACACTGATTTTGTTTTATTGAACAGCAGGCAAGAACCAATAGGTTTGTGACAACAGCCCAGGATCTGACAGGTGACTGACTGAGTTGAGATGTGCTTATGCTGGGGAGGGTGATTGCAGGTGAGTCTAATAACTGTGAGAAGCTGAGGAATATTGTATGACAGATACAGAACTAAGAAAACACGACATACTACCCCAGCAAATAAGTAAAGTCCACTTGATAAAGATACTTCCTGTTGCAGCAGATCATGATTGTTGCCATTGACAACGGGTGTAAAAGAAGAGAATATAGAAGTTGGAGAAAGCTGGGTTATCAGTCTGCTGATGTTATCAGTAAGCTTGTTGTCTTTAAACCAGAGTTGTGTGTCCAAATAGATATGAGTTGTACATTAAGCTTGTTTTTTGAAACATTTTTGAACTTATTGACTGTGACTTTTACCTGACAAATTTGAGCTGCGTCGATCTTGGCACCATGAAACGATTGGCAGTAAATTTCAGTTTCTTAATGCAGAAAAAAATAGTGACATCTCCACATGACGACACAAACTTAAGGCCAGGACTGTGTATGTGTGTACATGATCGTAGATGCAGATCAAATAAGCTGCGTTTCCACTGACCATAAAAAAGCGCAAAATGGAATTATGAAAATAAATTTGCTCAATGGAAACGCGGCAGTTTTGAGAAAACTTGTGTTTTTCGTTAAAACGTTTCTGAGCTGGGATGAGGCGGATTTTGGACTGTACCAAAATGTGATCAACAACCGGATGTTACTGCTGGCAATGATGGCGCTGCATGGCTTATAATGACGTATTGCATGAACAAGCTTATTCATGTGTGATTTTAGTTCAGTTTCTTATTTAATGGAAACAACACAATTGCGAAATTGAGTTTTTTTGACATTGTTTAATATTTTTTGGGCACGTTTGTAATGGAAACACAGCTAATGTTACCCAAAAATACATAAGTCTTTGTGTTGACTGGCTGTTGATATTCTAAGCCTCTCCACTTTCTTTAAGCTTAACTCTGTACACTGAAAGCCATTTAAATTGCTAACTTGTGCTAAGGTTTTCTTTCTGTGCCCTTCTTGTTGTCCTAATGTGTGTGAACCTGCTGCAGGCAGGGAATGTGAGTTTGTTTGCAGGTAAAACAGAAACGAACAAAGGAATGCAGCCTCACCCTGGTGCACTGTGTCACATTTAACTTCTTTTCTTTGACTGTCACACAGGTAAAAAAGGACAGAAATAAGAGTTCAAATGGTGATTCTACATGATGATTCTATCAACTGACAGGTTTAAACAAAAACCAGGATCTTTCTAAAAGACAAATGCCATTCTTGTCCTTCTAAAAAATCCTTTTCCACTCCATAATTTTAGATTTATTTTGCTTTCTGACATGAGGAGCAAAGAAACATGTACATATATGAACAGCTACATTGGGAATTTATTTATATTAAAGTATGATTTGTGTGAGAAAAGAGAGCAGGAGAGATTTAAAATGATGTGAACAAACAGGCAATGCCAAGGCCACCTATGCTATCATAACAAGTATGCTAACTATCAGATTAAATATCTAAAAATGTTCATCTTTAGTTGAACATGAACTGGTTCATTTTAGACTTTAATTCAGAATGAATTGGTGCTGAACTATGAACTTGAATTAATTAGGTCATGACTGAATTAGGTCTAGAGAAGCGTGAATTTACCCAGAGCAGATCTGAGCACAGACAGAGGAAGCGCTCCGTTTGTTTGTTTTGTTCAGGATGAACATCGATAGATTACCACAGATTATAACACCTTTTATGATACATTTTGCATCAGCGCAACAACGATGCACTGATAACGCTTGGACTGATAAAGTTCAATATCTGAAATGGGTCAAACCGCAAAGGGAAACTGTCAGGCTCTTTGAAATATTTAAAGACCCTGACTCACAATAATAAATCCAGGCGAATTTCACCGCCATGAGAAACAGCAAAACTGAGTCATCGGGCAACCAAGTCGTTCACGCAGACGAATAATCAGAATATAAATGATTCATAGTGAGAAATGAACCTGAGCCACCACACAAGGCATCTTCAAATGTGCAACGTGAACTACAACTGTGAGGCGTCCATCAGCAGTGATGCAGCACAGACAGAGTGAAACAATCAAGTTATTAGTTTGGACTAATGTAATCTACCTCAACAGTTGTTGTCCTGCTAACCTGGACGATAATATTAAAAATGTCAAAGAGTGCATTTAATATCTTATTCCCTCAGTTTTATCCTTTTGACCCTTTGAAAAAGCCACCGGATGATGTTTTATGGCCCCCAAAACTTGGATTTAACTTGTAATATAATCCGTGCGCAGGTATGTTATCACACCCAGAATTAAAATGTGAAAAATCACAGCTTGATAGGATTTTCTAGCCTAGTTTCATAAACAAAGCACAAATTTCATACATGTGTACAAAACTACACGAGATTATCTCATCTTCTGTCATTTAAAAACAGAAGTGCAGCTATTATTTACACTGCAGTGCCACACCCTGGAAAACACTCCTCTCTAAGCTTCACTTTTCATATTTTGTTTTGCAAATCCAAATAGAAGGCAAATGAACTTCCTGTGTTTCTTAAAGACGTTTCCCCTCTAATCCAAAAGCCTTCTTCAGTTCTGACAGAAACACACCTGTAACATAAACTACACTAATATGGCCATAAAAGTCACTAAATGCGGTAATTTAATTCATGTTTTATTTGACGTTATAAAAGTCATTTCGGTGTAAATCTGCTCAGAAATGTGGAAAACTGTTTTTACAGAAGCCATAAGGATATTAACAGACGCTTCACACCAAACACAATTTAATTCATGAGGTGGAGTCTTACGAGGAAGAGCGTTGCTGGTGAAGTAGAAGAGATACTTGGGGCACGGGATGGTGACCACCTCTCCGACGTCGGCAGAGGGCCAGCAGGCGATCTTGTCCCAAGTGATGTTGCAGCCTGCCAGGAAAAACAGAAGAATATGAGCTGAAATGACCAAAAGTGATGCATAATCAACAGAAGGAAACACTGTACAACCAAAGGGCTCAAGGTCACGCGGCCCGATTAAGCCGAAGATGGAATTACCGCGGCAGCTGAAACATGTAACGTTTGCTGCCGTGGCCCGGGTCCGTGACGGCGGACAAGCCGAGGTAACAGAGTGTCACCATGACTATTAAAGCAGCTTCCCTTCCTTAGCTGCTGTTTGAATTCAGAAGATGGAGCCGTAACTTTAGGGATCAGGTCGCCACAGTACCACACCTGCTCCCACAACCTATCGAAACACTATCCCGAGGATACATTCGAGATGGAGTTTATTCACAGCAAATGACGAGAAAGTTAAAACGCTGATGGGAGTTTAATGACTTTTGTGTTGTGTGAAAATGAGCCGTCTCTCAGCGTCTCTCGCCAGTGTTTCTGTCACACGGTGAAATTATAAGTGAGCAGAGTGTAATGGCATACTGTGTGCTGCTTTCACCCCCCATCACTTCGTCACATGTAATTCAAAACCTATCAAGAATAAAAACAACAAACAACCAAATTGAGGTTCATTGTTGCATATTCGTCGCTTGATTTGTTCTTTTGTAAAAAAGTGATTCGTGTAAATGAAAGTCGTAGCTCGGGTGGATTTGTTTTGCTTTTCCGTCCCAAAGGAACGCTCCATTTGCTTACAGTGAGAGGTGAGTCCAGAAATTTTCAATTAAACTTAAAATGACTTTGACTCTTCCACATTTTGTCACAAGTACAAAGTTTGATGTATTTCACAGGAATTTTCTGTGATAGGATAACATCACAGTTTAGAAAGAAGAAAAACAACTAAAAGCAACAAAATAAAATGTAATTTTACAAATAGAGAGTGATTACTCTTGTTTTTTGTTCCACATATGAAATATTTACATTGAGATTAAAGTACTGAAATACACACAAGTTAAAAAATAAAAATAAAGGCATCAGAGGACAATTTGCTGAACTGGACTTCAGGGTTTCCCCCAGAAAACTTGCTAAGCCCGGTGGTCGGGGTGGCGAGGCGGTCCACTGTGTTTTTGTATTAAAAGATGTTAAGGTGACAGGAAATGTAAAACTATTACTGTGTAATTATATGTTAACAGAAAAGATCTCCAGTGAAATGCTGTTTAAACCCACAATTAGTCTAAAAACAACAAATTTGCACTTCTGTTTAATCCAAATTAAGTCAGCAGCTCCGTTGGGCCCCCAAGAGCTTCAGGGGCCCCATAAACGCTAATATTTTAAAACAGACCACAGATACATAATGTAACACTTGTTTATTGAGATTATCTATGCTGTTAAATTTTATTCAATTATTTAGGCATAGATAAATGAAATGATTTTAAATTGTTTAACATTTAAATACAAGATTTTAAGGAACTGGCAAGTTTACTTTGTAAAACTTCAAAGAACAATATTCATAGTTAGATTTTTTTGTTATTATAGCAACAATCTGATGCTGTGAGTTTAATCTTTGAATTTACAAATCCAAATTAGTAAACTGCGATTATAACTTATTGCTTTTTAGGCTGGCCAATTAAACTACTCCCTTCTCCCATATTTCACTAAATCTAACACAGAAGCTGTTAGAGGTACTGATGATTTTTAGGAACAAAAGGGGCCCCTACATCAAATTCTGCTCAAGGCCTCATACAGCCTTGGACCAGCCCTGCATGATGAGGTAATTTACTGCACTACGCAGAGATGCGCAACAAACGGGAGATTTAATTCAATGCTGCTAATGTGGCTTTAGTAGCTCTTCCATTTCGTGTCTGTTGAGTTTTTAATCGTCACAGAAACTATTCTGGTTGGTCGAGTTTATGGGACGAGTTTAAGTAGACGACGCATTTGATATGGTTTGATGCATCGTGTAACCGGAAAAATAATAATAAAATAATATAAAATCAGCGTGATGCGTGACTCCGAGGAGAGCGTTAAAACTCCTCACCGGGCTGAACCTGCATGATGAGGTTAGCGCTGCTCGTTATCCACAAACGCTCCGGCCAACCGGGACCACAGACATAAACTTTACAGGGAAGACAGACACAGAGCCACACACTGGGCAGCGTGTTGAGATGTAAATGCCGCATATAATTGTTCGTTCACAAAGATAAATCATTCTCACCACTCCACAACGCGCCTCTGAATTCGCTACAAGTTATTCCTGCGGTTCACATTGAGCTGCGCAACCAGAGCTATCGCGGCGGGTTTTAAACTCTTACCTAGAGTTCTCCAAAGGATCATAATTCCTCACAGTAGGTTTATGTAAATATCCATACAGGTCAGCCTGTGTCCAGTTTGAGTGAAAGGAGGCGCGCGCGATCCCGCTGAGGTAAAGCAGCGGCAGCGCGCGAGGCAAAGCGCAGAGGCGCCAGCGGTGTGATTGGTCCGCGCGCTTTCGGCTTTAAATG